GGACTCTCCCTGAGAGGGGAAACATTTGTTGATGTGCTGGTTGATTCTCCCTTATACCTGGCCTACTTCCTGTAGCCATCAGGTTCTGATACTGGATATAGGCATTGGCTAACTGATTAATGATCAGCAGAGTTTATAAAGGTGGAGTCAGTTTATTATTTTAAACTTTGAATTTCATGCAGTGGCTTTCCACCATTGAGGTGGGAAAAGATGTGAGGGCATTCCAATGATCAGACTCCCTGAATTGAACTCAGCAAAAGCTTCTCAGTCCAATGAGAAACAAAGATTGGAAACTGATCAAAGAGAGAAACAACTTGGAACTAAGGAGAAACTTCCTGACAGTGAAGAAAATCAACCAGTAGAACAGCTTACCCCCAGAAATCGTGGGCGCTCCATCACTGGAGATTTTTAAGAAGAGACTAGACATTCACCTGTCTGAGATGGTATAGGTTCTCCTGCTTGAGCAGGGGGCTGGACTAGAAGACCTCCAAGGTCCCTTCCAGTTTCTATTCTATTCTATTCTATTCTATTCTATTCTATTCTATTCTATTCTATTCTATTCTATTCTATTCTATTCTATTCTATTTTTATTGCACATTACAGGAACTTACTTTGCTTGATGACTGTTGTATGTCAGTTTGAAGTCAAGACTTTCTTATGCCTGTAGTGGTGAAGTCTAGTGTTTCTTTTTCTTGCCTTTCCCAGTTTAAGGGATATTTCACAATGGACTTTTCAATCTTGGAACTAGAAGAGTGTTGGTGGTTGACATAATTAACATTTCTTCTATGAGAGATTGTAGCTCCCAACATAACTCTTGGGGAGGGGGAAGGAACTTTCCTGTTCTGCCCCAATCAGCTTCCAGGTGAAGGAGGTACCTTTCCATTTATTGACAATGTAACTAGCTGTCTGAGTAGAACAATTTTACCCGTGGAATATCCACACCAGAACTCACCCCCTTCTGAGTATCTTTCTTATTAACTGCACAAAAATGAAGAGCTGTTTTATTATTTAATTTGAAGGGGAGAAGTGATCAATGGAGGATTTGGTCTTGTCCTGGATGGCTCAACAAGTGCCGAAGAGCGTGCAAAGATGATGTTGAATTGGGATGTTTCTAATGGGGTAAGTAAAAATAGATCTTCCAATTTGAAATTATTGTAATTTTTAAAAGAAGTGTAAACAAACAGATTTTGTTAAGTGACTTAGTAAATTTATTATATATAGCAAGGATATTTGGGTATATTTTCTATGTATATTCTAATGATATATAGTAGATTGCATATTTGATGGGCTCTTTAACACTTTTTTACTATATGTATTGGGTAATTACAGAATGAGAAACAAATCTTTCAGGGCAAAATCAGTATTACTTCCCTTTTTATGTTAAAGAAAGATGACATAGAATTTAAGATGATTCCAGTCACCCCTTCTCTGAGGAAAATAGATACAAAAATATACCCAAATCTTCTGCAATATTCAACTTCCCCACCTTGTCATCTTATATTAACTTTCCAGATAATATATATATATATATATATATATATATATATATATATATATATATATATATATATATATAAAAATCTGGAATTATATATATATATATATATATTATATATATATATATATATATATATATATATATATATATTTGCAAATGCTTTCATATTTATATTATACAATCTCATGGCGTCATAAAATCTGGCTTATTCCACTTACTGAAAGTTTATAACTTCCAAATTGCTTTTTCTGAACTAGCAATGCTTGGAATGTCATTCAAGGGGCACAAATACCACTATCTCACAATTCATGCATTCACACACTATGCTATCTGAACAGCTTGTGTTGTCATCATATTTCAAGAACAGGTAAAAAAGCATTTTATTGCTGTGTTTTTTGACAGTAGTTACATTAATCACCAAAATGGCACCAGCTTAGTTTCATCTTATCAATTATGAGTTCTCTGGATTCAGTTCGATCAAGCTGGCTCTGCTCCCATATTCCATTATAGTGGTCTTGATTTGAGTTCCAAATAGCCTCCAGAAACCAAGAGTGGTGTGTTACCTAAGCAGTTAATTAATAGCACCAACAATAGCAGCTCACTATTTTAAAGAAGAATTTCCATTTGAATTAATCAAAACAGCTGACTTTGCACAGTTAATGTAATAGTTAATAAGAGCATTTGAGAAGGAACAGATTTGTCAACTTGCCACTAGGACCTCATTGGTCCCAACTTAAGGCAAACATGAATTATTTTTGGTGCCTGCCATTCATCTGTTCCTTCACTGTCAACTGGCTAGTTTTTATTATTATTGTATTTATATCCCTTCTTTATTTTGTATAACTTGTGAGGTATCCAATGTTCCTGCCAGGGAGATGGGTTCAACTGAGAGCTTAGTCACCCAACAAATTTTCAGGCCTAAGGGAAGACTCATTTCTAATCCAGCACCAATTTGGTTCTCTTGGTAGTTATAAACTCACCTGGTTAGACCTACAGTAGTGACCAAAATTGTGGAAACTTTTGAGAAAAGTGTACAGTAGAAATACCACCTTTGGTTAAGTTTCCATCAATTTTTCTTCTATAACTGTAGCCTTGTTCACTTAATAATACTATTTTACATCGCTTTCTGGGCAACCAGTCAACTCTTTGCACCATTACTTTAATTTTATTACATTTTACAAGCTCACTAAATGAAAGAACACAAAAAACCCCAACCAACTTGATAGTGATCACATAATACACTGACAAATGTCCTCCTCTCAGCTTCAATACATGACATCAATAACTGAATCCTACTGTGATCTGATTGGCTCATGGCCAAAACAAGATGACACCTGATTGGCTCTCTAAACACTCATGCTCACTGGCTACAATCAGATGGAGGAAAGCTACCTGATATCAACCTAAGCAAGTTGTGTAGATGAGGAACTATAAGTAGTTGGCTATAGCCATAGATGCTAAGTAGGATGGGCAGTAAAGAGCAGGCTGAAGAAAACTACTCTGAACATATTTGCCTTTGGCCCACTCAAACCTAGCAGTGCCTGTCAACTAGATTCAGGGTTTGATTACTTCTAGAATAAGTGTAGACAGGAGGTCTCCAACCTTGGCAACTTTTAAGACTTGTGGACTTCAACTCCCAGAATTTCCCTGCCAGCAAGTTTTAAAGTTGCCACAATTGGAGACCCCTGGTGTAGATAGAGCAAGCTTTGGGGTATTAATACCAGCCTCCATTATTTAACTTCCAAACAATGTAGGTGTTTAAAGGAGTAATGATTATTTTACTCCAGAAAATTTAACTATTTGTTAAATTTAAAACTAGAGAAGGTTCCGTTATAACTTACTGATGTAGCTAATATACTGCAAGTAATAACCAGAGTTCTCTCAAACTTCATCTTTTTACATCCTTGTTCTGGCATACATGTAGTAATCAGAAGAAATATCATTCTATTCTCCAGAATCATTAATCTTGAATTAAACATATGTTAACTTAGCTTGGTGTTTCTCAACCGTAACAACTTTTAAGATGGCTGAGGAATCGTGGGAGTTGAAGTCCACATATCTTACAATTGCCAAGGTGGAGAAACAGTGACATAGTTCTTTCCAATTTGGCAGCTTCAATTATATACCAGGACTGGAATTCCTAAAATTTTCAAAAGCCACACTAGATGGGAACTGTGTCAATTGGCACATATCAGGAAAAGGTACCAAGGTCAGGGAAAGTTAATTTAGCTGAATAATTCAATATGCGTGTTTTTCAAATATTGTCTTCAAGTAATATTTGCTTGAAGAAAAGTTTGATAGTATTCAGACAATACTTTCCCAGCCATAGGTTTCTAAGTTCAGCCTTAAGTGATTATATTTTCCATGAAATGCATTCATTACAGTGCACAAGAAATGATACAAATTAAAATAATTCAGTGTATTACAGAATATGTTTGGTGTGCTAATGTTCTAAACCAAAGGAGGTAATCTCACAAAACACCTTCCTTATACTATGTCAATATCTAGAAGATGCTATGCTGGAACATTTAAATTAGAACTAAAAATATTATTATCTTTTATCATTCAGGGTATTTATTAAACAGTAACATCTCAGATGCTACTGCAAGAATTTCAAGGAATCACTCAGTTTAGAAAAAAAAAGTTAAATGTATTTTCTTAAAATAATATATATTTAAATCATTGGGTATCTTATACTTTATATATTGTATCCATTCATTTTTATTCTATAAATGCAGGTTGCTAGACGTTGTTGGTCTGGTAACAACAACGCTTATGAAACCATCTGTCAAGCCATGGACAAAGAGAAGAATCTAAAAGTGACACTTCCACATAAGGTGCTAGATGACAGCATCTTGGAACAAGCTCTGAGTTGTTAATTGTCATTTATTCTGCCTTTTTTGAACCAATTGTTACTTTCCTCTTGTTCTACTCCAAAGCTCCCATTTATGATACAATAAAATAATGGTTGCATTTTTTTTCTTTCAGGAAAGTAATACTAAAATAAATCAACATTAGTTATATGAGTTTCTGCACATACTGAACATTAATGCAAGCTTTTCAGACACGAATCACCAAGTGATTTCCAATCTAGGAACTGATTAATCTTGGTATGCTCTCTAAAATTAGTGCCATTGTTATTTGATTAGAAATCCATGCAGAAAAAGCAACAGGTGAACAACGCTTTTTCTCCTGCTTGTTGCAACTTGGTTTCTTTTTAAGATTTGTGGTCAAAACTCAGCATTATTGTATTTAGCTGACAACTCCTCTCCTGCATTCAACTCCACAGCAAAATCTGACTCCCGCTGAGCAACATTCAAAATGCATTTTGAAAAGCCTTGATTTCAATACAGTGTTTTTTGGCTGATTTATATGGAGACTTCTTCTTCTTGTGCCATATCCGTTATCGGACGTTGGTGATCATGTTGGCGATCCTGTTTTTATCAGCAGCCACACGAAAAAGTGCTGCTGAGTTTTGTCCAAACCAATTCCTTTGATTTTGAAGCCACAATGTTCTTCTTCTGCCTAGACCTCGTTTGGAGACTAAGGATTTATAATACATTTGTGTTAGCTCCAGTGGTGTGATTCAGATATGTAAACAACTGGTTCTCTGTGTGGTTGCCACTTCCAGAAGTCCATTCTGGACCAGGGCAACAAAAAATTAGCTACCAGTTCTACTTGAATCACACCACTAGTTAGCTCCCTAACAATTCAGTCTGTTGATTTCTTGTTATTATCTGGGTGAGGGACAGCTATCATATGGTCTGACCTTTATTCAGATTTCAATTCTTTGCCCATTTTACAGTGTGGAAACTGTCCCAACCAAATTGTATGTTCACCTCTAAGAGTTATAGTTGGCTTTTAGCCTTGTCCCAAGTCATATAAAACGATCTTAAAAAAAGATCTCATTTTTCCTTACGAGCTGGGCCAAGTATTAAGATAATTGGGAGTGGCTTTTTATCATGATCTGATCACCTTCAAAGGTAGGGTATATCTGAAAGAGAACGAGAAGGAGCCTTTTCAATGGCTGTTTATAGGCTTCAGAATTATCTGCTAACGAAGATCAGGATTGATTTCTGTTCTTTATCTTTCTTCAGTAGGGTTCCGCCCTCCCCCCATATAAGCATTTCCCAGATAAGCTTCATTAGCTTATTTTGCAAACAGATACAAGGTAATATAGCACCACCTACTGTTTGAATCATATAAGAAAAATTAGAGTACTACCGTATATTATAATTAATGTGAGAGAGGCAGTTTGGTACACAGGTAGTTCTTTTGTTACAACTGTAATGGAGCCTACTCATTACGGTTGAAAATTTGAACATCAAATGAACTACCTCACTTAACTCCCCATCCCTGCTCTCCCCAAGGATACTAGATAGCACATAGTGGGAAGGGAAAATGTCTGTCTTTGCCATTTAGGCTTGGATCCCAAAGATTTGAGCCTCTTTTGAGGTCACAGAGCCAATTCCCCTCCCTGTTCTGCACCAGAATAAGGGGAAAAATAGGTGGCAGGGAGCTGCAGGGTCTCTATGAGGGTGAATGACCCTAAGTGTGCTGTAGTGGTCTTAACTTTGAAACCAAGTGGTAAATACCTTTGGGTAGATTTGTTATAACTTCAAATGGTCACATAAGTGACAGCCACAAGTCGAGGACTATCATAATGGTTAAGTCATCAGGTTAAAAACTGCAATTTGTAGTCCTGTCTTAGGCACCAAGTCAGCTGGGTGACCTTGGGCAGTTACTCTCTCTTAGGAAAGAGGCAAATGGCAAACAATTTGTGAAAAAACCTCGCCAAGAAAACGGCAAGGGATTAGTCTGGGAAGCCAGGAGTCAAAAAGTGATTCAAAGGGACAAAACAAATGAATTAAGTGAACTATTCACTTATAAAGATATAAAGATCAAATTGAGAAAGTTATGTACTTAACGGTACTAAAAATTAAGATTTTAATTTCAAATATTTTCATTTCAAGATACAAAATAATGCTGGAGTTTATGTAGTCAAACCAACATGAGACACTTACTCAAGATTTATACAAAAGCAAAAACCCATGAATGGAAAATGGGGGGAAAGCCTTTCCAAAGGACTGAATGAAGACTGATCAGCCTTAGTGAAAATCTGACCCAAAGACTTGTTTTACTTTATGTTAAAACCAAACCAACCACTTTATGGCTTATCATATTACATACAGTAAAATACATGCTACAGTATTTAGTTGCCAATCATATTGCATATGTTAGAATATCTTTTTAACTTCACTGAAATAATGGGGTGAAATCCATAATTAAACAATTACGGTTTACTAATTCTTATATTTGTAAAACTAAATCTCAGCTATAGTATTGCCTGGCTAATTCTAGGCCAACTTTTCTCTTTCTAAATGGGTGGGATTTCAAGTCAGCATGGTCCAAGTTGAGAATTAAAATCCAAGAGATTTGGAGGGCACCAAATGTTGGAATGCTGCTATAGGGAGTCTAAGAAAGCAGTAAGATGAAAACTGTAACAAACAATATTGGTGCATTAAGGAAAGAAACATCATTTACCAAATTAATAAGGTTTAGATGAATCCTGACGAGGGTAGCGTTAGGCTTCAGGATTTGATGACTGTGGTGTAGATAGCAGATTTCCTGATGTTTCACCAGCAACTATATCTGAAGATGCTCAAAAGATACCATCTGTGAAAGCCAATGCTAGATCCTAGCTAGTTCTACATAATTCTCTATATAGTATTCAATTTGGTTTTGATACTTTAATTTTGTCATGCAGAGACTATCTGGGCTTCACATTTCCTTCATGTGAAAGATTCAGAATGTAATTTCTTCTACTCCCTCTGGCTAATTTTTCCCAGAAAGTCTGTGTACCTTTTTCTGCCATGCTTTATTAACGAATCTCCTCAGGCCATTATGTATCCTCTTTATGAATTCTCTGTAGATTTGTTAATAGTCTCAACAAATTTGAGATCTGCATTCCTTCTTTATAACTGGGAGATCTTCCAGCTCTGCTTGGAGTTACATTTCCCCCAAAGAAACAGTCCAATTTAGTGGCACTTCTGGATCCATATTTTTTTCTCCATGCTGAGTTAATTGCCAGGAGTTCCTTTGTCATTTTTTAGTAACACACAAACCTGGCCTTTCTAAAAGCCAACTAAGAACTGGTGTACATACTGGTAACCTCCAGCCTGATTACTGAAATAGGGCTACATATTTACATCTTTGCTAAAAGCATGCTGTCAGCTTCCAAATCATTTTCAGGTAGAATCTTAAGAGCTAATTATTGCCCTAAGCAGTTTAACTTTCTTTTATATGATTTCACACTCTCTCACACACATGCTATTTGGGGATATCTACCCATAGTTTTTGTAAGCACATTTACTTGAGAGTTGCCACCTGTGGTATAATATTCCTCTGTTGGTATTTTAAATTTTAAAGCACATGTTAATGGATGCTTATTTTCATTTTTAATGGTTGTTGCTTTACTGCCTTTACTAACATTTTTAAACGTTTTAGGGCAATTTTCATGACTTTACAGTAGTTGGTGTATTAAAATATTAATAAAATCTATAACAGCACAGTGGGAAATATTTGAAGACTTTATCTGTGCCACTCAGGCTGGAATCACATCGTAATCTGGTTCAACTGGCTTTTGCTTCATGTATTGAGTAAACCCAGTGGCTGACTTGTAAATAATAACTTATGATTTAGTGTGTTGTGCAAACTAGCAAACTATAATCTAGTCAAAAAGGTTGGCTGGTTAGAACACAAAGTGCGAGTCTAGCCTCAGAGTCATCTGCAGTCCAGTTCTATAAGGTGGAAAGAGAATTGTAATAGATAAAACATCTCAACACTTTGTAATAACTAAAGAAGCAGCTTTCTTTCAATATATACAATGCATGCCATCTTCTAATCTTAGAAGATACGTTGACAGTTCTCTTCCTATACGATACTCTGATCTACAAACCCATTTACTTATTAAATTTATATGCCACCAATCTCACTTCCCATTACAACTGGGAAGACTCTAGTTTAAGGATGGCTGCCCACGGCAATATCTTTCTGGACCCAGATTTCACTGCCACTTCCTTCATTTGCTTGAACATCCAGCTTGCTGTTTTTTCCATACTTCCGTATTTTGAAATGTGTGCACCACACTGAATGATTTACATTTGAATGCAGTGTAAAATAGATAATTAAATAAGTTTAGCTCATACATCCTAGCAACTCTTTTTTTTATCTCAATCCAACTTCACACTCAGTTCCTTATCTAACTATGCTTTAATAATTTAATTGTCCTTCTCAACATGTTAAATTTGGCAGATAAATTTGAAGAATTCACATCATGGTGGGAAACCATACTGTTACAGGGAAGTAATCCTCTCTTCCTGTCTTCTCCTCTCTCTTCTACAGCAGTTACTCTTTATTTCTGCTTTTCTAGAGTTCATCTCCCTCAAGAAACTTATCACACTAAAAATCACTAAACAAAGTATACACTGAAAACTGAAACACAGAAAAACAAACACTGATATTAGCATTAAGCTTAAGACAGCCCAGCACCATTAAAATATTTACTTCAGACTTGCAAACATAAAATCCATGATTCTGACACACATTTAGCTGCTTTGTTGGAGGCGAACACCAGCGCATAAATCCTTCGGGAGTCAAAACTGGTTTGGAAAATTAGTTTCCAACATGGGGGTGATGGTGTGTATGAAGGTTACGTTGAAGGAAAGTCACTTTATACGAGATTAAATTTGGGAAGCTCATTTTAGCATTTTAAAAGGAAGTTTCAGTAATAATGAAACATCCGAGGGTAAGGGATCAAGAACTCTGAGCTCCCCGACATTACTCCGCAGTCCCAGCCGGCTTACCTATCGGGCGAAAGTCTGGTGAGAGTTTCACAGTCCTGGCGGAAGTGAAATGAAGGGAAAACACAATTTATACAAATCGAAGTTTTATTTACGAGGCTCGTTGCTAGCAGAGTGTTGGAGATATTGAGGGGGTGTCCATTGAATCTAACATCTTGTTTCTTAATTATTGCTCTAATATAATGATTACGAGATCCCCTTTTCCCAAGGAGCATAAACCCCACGCCAAGTGGGATTTCTTTCTTGGTTTTAGCTATGCTTTGAATCTTTCAGGGTCTCCACCCCTCCCCGCTTCGGATCTGTCCTCCGGTTTCACGCAGAACTACCACTTCCTGGTTTTACACGCGGCCGCGGAAGATCGACTCCTCTCCTGTACTCCGCGCTCCGGGTTTCTCCGATCTCTTGGCCGGCTCCGCCCCGCGGCTCCGGTTTCAGCCGCTGCTACAGGGACCCCCAAGATGGAAACGCAGGGGCTGCCTGCCGCCGCGGAGGCGGCCCAGACCGAGCCCGCCAGCCAACAACATGGCGCTGGTGCGGCCGCCGCGGACAACGGGGCTCCCTCCCCAGGGCCTGTTCGCCGACCTCCTCAGCCTCGTGACTCTACGGGGGCGGCGGCAGCGGGGGCCTGGGGCCTGGACGTGACATTCCCGGTGCTGCTGCTCCTCGAGGGGAAGCTGCCGGAGCCGCCGCCGCCGCCTCAGCAGTTGCCAGTGCCGCCGCCGCCGGGATCTGCTACCTCCGGCGGCGCGCCCGCCTCCGCCGCCTTGTCCCCGCCAGCCGGAGGCCCCGGGCAGCCGCCGGAAAATGACGCTCTGCTGCTGGTGCTTAACTTGGTGCGGGGCGGAGCCTCCGGAAACCCCTCGCGAGGCTCCTCTCAGGATTCCCCGCCGACACAGCGGCCGCGGGTGGAGGGCAAACCGGGCGGCGAGGCGGGAGGAGAAGGCCCGGCCTCGGCGCCGCTCTCGGAGGGCGGCGGGCCGCAGGAGGAGCCCGGCGGTGGCGGCTGCGGGCAGGGGAATTCCTCCTTTTCGGGCACGCTGACCATCAACAACCAGAGCCTGCTGGTCCGCTTCGAAAATGGGACGCTTAGCTTCGGAGGCCCGGCGCCGGCAGCCCCAGTGCCGCCTCCTCCAGCTCAGCCGAGCGACGCCGCCCAGCCGCCGGCTGCACCCTCCGGCGGATCTTCGCGGGTCCCGGCGTCACATCCTCGCCCGGACTCCCACCGCGCCGAGACCTTTTCCCGCAAGCAGCTGTTGCGCCTGCATCAACTGTCGGCGCGCTGCGGGAGCCCAACCGGCGCGGGGCAGGAGGGCGGAGAGGCGGCGGGTGCAGCTGCTGCTCCTCCAGCAGGCGCCAGCCGGACGGCGCGTCCCTTCAGCTGCCCGGTTCCCGGCTGCGCCTGGGCTTTCGCCACGGCCTACAAGCTGCGGCGCCACCTGCATTCCCACGACAAGCTGCGGCCCTTCGCCTGCTCGGCGCCGGGCTGCACGAAGCGCTTCACCACCATCTACAACCTTCGGGCGCACGGCAGGGCTCACGAAGAAGAGGCGAGGCTCAAATGCGAGGCTTGCGGACAGCGCTTCCCCAGCGCCGCCCGGCTTGGGGCGCATCAGCGGCGGAGCCACCTGGAGCCAGACCGGCCTTACCGCTGCGAGTACCCAGGTAATCTGGTCGACCCCGGTCTGGTTGGTTTGGGCAAACTGCCTTTCACGCTGCTCGTGTGTAGCGTTTCTGCCATGAACTGGGAGGGTGGAAAGGGGGGGGGGATTTTAAATCGAGGGTGTAGTCCAGTTATTTACAGATCTTAAATGTTGCAAAACGTGTATTCCAATGAATGTGGGAAACAATTAAATACGCACGCATCGATATTTTATTGTAAAATAGCAAATCATGATCGTTGTATTATTTCCAGGCCGATTTCAATGCACTAATATAATTAATATATAATATAAAATTAACATTCTAGTATTTAAAAAATTTAAAGAATTGAAAATAAAAAAAGGGAAAAAAATCCTAAAGCGTTAGAAACATAACATTATTTAACTTTTAATCCATAGCTGAATGCAGGAAATCCTTGGGTTATGACTGCAGTTGGGACCATTGCTATGCAACCGCTAGGGCTAGGCAGTTGTAAAGCACAATGTCAAGTGATTGCATCGCTTAGCGACTGCAGTTGTGGTTGCCATTGTAACCCCTAGGGCCCCCAAGTTCTTAAGCAGGAAGAGATGAGAAGGAGTGTAGAGAGGGTGCACAGGTGTCACAGCAAGTTGGCAGGGGCTATGGGAGGGCCGGTGGAGGCATAGAAGGGGTGGCAAAGGTCTTGGCCAGGGGGCAGGGTGTTGTGGGCAGGCAAGCATTAAAGCAGGGGTCTTCAAACTTGGCCCTTTTAAGACTTGTGGACTTCAATTCCCAGAATTCCTCAGCCTGCATGAGGTGCTGCAGAGTATAAAATCCCTGACCTTTTGGATTTCATAGTAGGTTCCTCAAGGAGAAAAGGCAGCTGGAGCAACTTTCCATGGCAATTTGCAACCTTCCTTGCCAGCTTCCATATTGAAAGGTCACACACGTTGATCACATAATATGGCTTGCTGCAATGTCATAATCACAAGCCAGGCACCAGAGCACCTGGATTGTGATCTACATGATCACAGGAACCTTGCAATGGCTGGATCTTTGAGAATTGGTCATAAGTCATTATAAATTTGAATGATCACTGAAAAAAAAAGGGTGTATGCTGAGGACTATCCATACAAAGTAAAAAAATACCCTGCAATTCACAAATTCACGTCAAAGTATTATATGGTAATAGCTGTAGTCTTAAACTAATTACTCAATACTAAAATCTCCATTGTATTGTTACTTTGTGTGTTTGTGTATGTTTATATGTTGAACATGTTATCAGAAAAAAATAAAAAATACCCATGAATGTTTTTGCGGCCTTTGGTGTGAACTGTTATCTTTCTTAATTTCTGGAGAGGCTGACAGACGTGCAATTCTACATGTGATCACATGAAAAAGAATCCCTTTTGTTCAGTACCATTCTAAATAAAATACACCGTTTAAAATAATTACATGATTTATTACAGAAAGTTTTTTAAAAAAGTTGTGCACTATCACAGCTAAATTCATAATTAATGCAAAGAGTATCATTTTGGGAAAAAGGCAATTTTGTGAGATGTGGTATGCCTGTTCTGATTGTGAGGGAATATTCAGAAATGTATTACCTCTGTACACAATGTGATTTTTCTTATTTGAACTCAAATCTCCTTAACCTCAATCCAATATACTTTCCATTGTGGTGCACTGGTTTTTTAAGATGAGGTGAATTCATTCTTTGGAATTTTTGTTGCAAGTCTAATTTCTAGTTTAATGTTCTGTAGGTTATCTGAAGGAACATTTGCTGGGACTTGGTAAAGCATCCTTTCCCATTGTAGTGCTCTGCAAATGCTGGATCTCAGCTTCTATCATTTCTTGATACCTTGGTGGCCCTATTGTGGTAGAATGGAAGCAAGATAATAGATTCTTACATTGTAACTTAGATGTGTAGAGCAAAATATGTCTGCTGGTGTTCTATTTTCAAAAACTTTTAGGTGGAAGATGTAGAAATTGAATATGAAAACATTTCTTTATTGGCTGTTCCCAGCATATGGTGCCTGGCAATAATCTGCTTTTGAAAATTGTGTTTTTATTTATCTGTAGCATATTGTTTATGATACAGATAAATTAAGGGGGTTTGTTTTGTTTGTGCTTTCCTGTGGAACACAGTTAACTGTTTCTTTTTTCTCCAGGTTGTGAGAGGACTTTCATAACAGTGAGTGCATTATTTTCTCATAATCGAGTCCACTTCAGGGAACAAGAAATGTTTTCCTGCTCCTTCCCAGGCTGTAACAAGCAGTATGACAAAGCTTGCCGGCTGAAAATCCACATGAGAAGTCACACAGGTGTGAACTAGGGTACTGTTAAAGTTTGCGTTTGGTTGGCTTAAAGAACAATATGTTGATTGGATAGATGCTATCCTTAAAAGCTGATAATCTGTTTATAGACAAGGATTTAACTGTATGTTGTAAAGAATTTGATTGGTAAAATCATCTATGTAAAGAAGTTAATGAACATAATTGCTAATCAGATTAGAATTTTTGAAAACAAATGTGTTAGCCTTTGTATTTGCAATTTTTGTATGCCTTTTTTTTTTTCAGGAGAAAGACCTTTCATTTGTGACTTTGAAGGCTGTGGCTGGTCTTTCACCAGCATGTCTAAGCTATTAAGACATAAAAGGTAAATGTTCCAACTGATTATACTGAAAATCATTGCCAAACAAACATTGTAACAGTTTAAGTTTGAAGAGTTATAAGTTCAGTAATAGAAAATGAGCTTGAATAAATGCTCTTAACATAAATAGACTTTGTTTAAGTTGAGCGAAGGCAGTCTGCTTAGCTAAAACATTTTTGGAGTAAGTCTAGTAATAGGCTTTAAAAACTTATCAGACTTCAATCTATTGGTATATGATTTTCTCAGTTCTGTGCAAGTGCTTGATCTTAATGTCAATTTAATTACTCTTGTAGGAAACATGAAGATGACAGGAGATTCACATGCTCTGTAGAAGGTTGTGGAAAATCTTTTACAAGAGCAGAACATTTGAAAGGCCATAGTATAACTCATCTTGGTACAAAACCATTTGAATGCCCTGTGGAAGGTATTATTCAAACACTTGATTCTGTTTCTGAATAGATTGATTGATACGTAGAAAAGACCAAACTATATTATATAGCCAGATGGATTGCTGGGCTGAAGGATTGCTATTGAATCTCACGACAGGAAAGAAAATACTTTCAAAGTACAACCTAATTGTGAAGAAGGAGCTAAATAAATCTTTCTTCCAAAGGAATGTTTTTCTTTTGAAAACTATTTAATTTCAAGACTTCTTTTTCATTTTTAGGGAATATGGACATCTACCAGCAAAAAAAAAATAAAAATAAAATTGGAGTGGGGGCAGGATGGAGATTTAATTTCTGTATTATCTTTAAAGCTCCCACTACCTTGATAAATACAACTGTAGTTGGATAGTGCAGTTGTTTTAGTTAATTTGGCTCCGTTCTCACAAGCTTTTGAAGCTGGTATTGCATTTATAGCTTTTGTTCTAAGATTTGTAAGATCACCTTTCAAAGGTAATTTTTGCTGTCAGTATATTTGCTTAGCTCTGTCCTTCTTGCTCCTCTATAGGGATGTGACAGACTAAGTACTGTGTATACAACTCATTCAAACTGGTTTATCTCCTTAGCATTTTCTTAGCTTTGTCACCTGTCTGAGGTTTTATCTATAAATCATTGAAAATTGAAGGAGCAAAGATCTGGGGAATCAAAACACTGAGGTCTAGAAGTAAGGGATTATGAGAAACTGTGCTGTCTGCAATCTCATAGGAAACTCTTATAATAGGGTTTAAATCTACACATGTATATTATATTCATATGATCCAGTTGTTGTATATTTCAGGTTGTTGTGCAAAGTTCTCAGCACGCAGCAGTCTATATATTCACTCCAAAAAACACCTTCAGGATGTGGATTCATTGAAGATGCGTTGCCCCGTATCCAGTTGTAGCAAATTATTCAATTCAAAGCATAGTATGAAAACCCACATGGTCAAGCAACACAACTTTAGTGCAGGTATGATTTGCTTCCTTAGAAGACTGAGTTATCTGGGGATTTGAATAATATATAGAATGTGGTATATCTAAAGATCTTGCAAAAAAAAAAGATTTATTCATCTCACTGAAGTTAATTATTTGGGTCTATATCAGTGGCCCCCAACCAGTTCCATGGAGAGAGGTTTTTCCACGGACTGGAGGGGGCGTGGTTTCGTATGCTGCCCATATCCCATGGATGGGGCTTTGCTTGTTTGTGCGGACCAGTTTCTGGCATGCTGTGGACCAGTGGTGGTCCACAGACTGGGGGTTGGGGACCTATAGTCTATATATCTGGTTTGTTCTTTTGTAGATACTTGATATATGTATAAATGTTGAAAACAATATTTACTATTGATTTACAGAAAGCATAATGATAAAATGAATTGTTTTGAGCTATAAGACATTTTATATTAACATAGTAGCGTTTATAGGGCTTCCTGCCTGAGCAGAGGCTTGGACTGGAAGACCTCTAAGGTCCCTTCTAATTCTGTTATTCTATTCTATTCTATTCTATTCTATTCTATTCTATTCTATTCTATTCTATTCTATTCTAATTGCTGGATGTAATGAGTAATGATAACTTGGAATGCTTAGCAGATTGTTCAGAATTGAGGAGTGAGTTAGCCAAGGGTGGGTGGGTGATCCTCCTTGATTATTTAAAGATAAATGAATAAAGAAAAGATTGTAGTGATGTTACAGGAGGTATTATTTGGTGAAATATTATGTATGTACTTTCATAGGCAGACAGCATTGCCACTACTATGGCAATTTTTATGGTAACCAGGATTGTGGATCTGAAAATTAATGTATCAAAGACCAAATTAGTTATTAGTTATATTTAACAAAGGAAATGAATGAATGATGGCAGGCAATACATAAATGGCAAAAATAACAGCAAGTAAATGAATGTTGATAAAATGTTTATGAAAGATAGGAATATGAGTGTAGGGTTTTAAGTAATCTCTTTCAAATAATACCTATCAGAAGAAGCAAAGGTGATTATGACATTGTTCAGTGGGAGCAAGAAGTGGTATAGTAGGAGAAACGTAAACATTGAATGTAAAATGGTTACCTAAGTTTGGGCAGTGAAACAACCATTTTGGCTATTGCTCAAAGGTTTTCTTAGTTGATGCTACTACAAATACCTTCTTTATTATTGAAAATGTCTTCTGAATAATTCATATAGAAACCCTAGTATTCTCTGTGACTTGCTTTTCTGTATGGTTCAACCAAGATTAGCAAGCTGAGAATGACAAATGATGTGTTTTGTCCAAAGTTCTGTCTTTTTTACATAGCATAATAGTAAAATGCACATAAAGGAGGGGTGGGTCTTGTGCCACAATGCTGCAAAGATCTGCCTTTTTATATGTAGTGAGATATTACAACTCTCATACTTAAGGACAGAGCAGAGCTTTACATCATAATACCTCCCTTCACGTCCTCTATAAATACTGCTGGCACTTAACTGCTAGTTGTGTGAAAATTACTTCTAGCACTATCCATTTTGCTAGGGATGCATAGCATATTATGGAAGTCTGAATATGTGTTAACAAGAAATAGAGATTATCTGAAATCCTAACAAAATTACACTACCGTGGCATAGTAGCATTGAGTTCTGACACTACAGGTAATCCTCAACTTACAACAGTTCATTTAGTAACCATTTGAAGTTACAGTGGCACTGAAAAAAGTGACTTATGACCATTTTTCACACTTATGACTGTTGCAGCACTTCGGATTTACATTCGGATGCTTGATTTACATTCGGATGCTTGATAGCTGACACACATTTATGATGGTTGCAGTGTCCCAGAATCATGTGATCCCCTTTTGTGACCTGACAAGCAAAGTCATGGGGAAACCAGATTCATTTAACAACCGTGTTACTAATTTAAGAACTGCAGTGATTCACTTAACAGACGTGGCGAGAAAAGTTGTAAAATGGGACAAAACTCACTTAACATAGTTCTCACTGAACAACATAAATTTTGGGATCAATTGTGGTCATAAATTGAGGACTACCTGTACTGTTTTCTTCCAAATTTAATGAAGGTAGTGTTGGCTGCTTTGATTGGAAATGGAAGACATAAGTTCTTGGAATGAGGATATGTAGCCAAATTGGAGAGGGAGGAAGGAGGCAAGATTTATAGGATACCTATCATAGTAACTAGGTAATTTTATAAAAACATTTTGCTTTGTTTCAGATCTATTAAATCAGATGGAAACCATTGGTTCCCTCACACCTAGCAACGAACTTGCCAATTCAGGACAAAGTGACCTCAGCAATGTAGATCTGGTGTCCCTTTTTTCTAGTGCATCTGGGAACTCCTCTGGAATTTCAGCTGATATGGCTCTAATAAACTCTGGAATCCTTACCATAGATGTTGCTTCAGTGGGCTCTACGCTTGGAGGCAGTCTGTCTGTCAATAGCAGTTCCCTTGCTCAGACAGTTGACCCACTGATTTTAGTGGCTAGTAGTGACATTCCACACAGCCTGGATAGCTCTCTTTTATTGGGAACCACCACCACCGTTTTACAGCAAAGCACTTTAAATCTGGATGAGGTACAGACTGTGAATGCAGAAGCCTTAGGCTCATTAGCATCTTTGTCAACAAGAAGTTCCAGTCAAGACTTGCACGGTTTGACTTCTAGCAATAACTTGTCAGTAGACACAGCCACTTTAACCCCTTCCAGCAGCCTTGGTGGAAACAATACAGCTGAATTGTTAGCTCCAAATAAAGCAGAGCAAACTTTGCTTCCTAGCCTGGACGTTGTGGAGCAACAAGAAGGCAGCAAAATGGTCACTCAGTATGTGTTCTCCAACCCTTCAGGAAGTTACAGTGCACAGAAAGAAACTGATCTGAGCACAGGGACTGGCAGCTCTATTCCGGTATGCAATAACACTAAGTAACTAGTTTTTATTACTATCTTAGTTTTGACGATATTGTCACTGTGAGTCATTCTCTACCAGATCAAAAAGGTTTATGGAATGTCTGCCCCGAGTGAAGTCACCATGTATTTTGTATAATGTAAGTGGCATAAATTGTTTCTGCCTGTGAAAGTGATTCAGTGCTTTTACATATTGTGTATTGTATTAAGTGAAAGAGGATAGTCTTTTTCATAGCAGAAGCTTAGAAACCAAAGCTTAATTTTTATTCATTACTTCCTCCCCAAACCGTTGTAAATACGAGGGCAATTTGGAAATAAACCTCCTTTTAGTTATCAATGGCAGACACTCGCAGAAACAGAAATGTTGTTATACACAGTAGAAAACTACATCGTTACATTACTTCTCGATATAATCACCACTCAAATTGAGGCACTTGTCGTAACGTCTTACAAGGTTTGAAAGTCCTTAGTAATAGCCATTTGGCGCCAAATCTCAGCTATGGGGGGGGGGATGATCAAAAACATCCCAACGGAACTGCTTCAGAAGTTCTTGGGTGCGTCTAGCGGTGTGCGGGCGAACATTATCGTGAACCAACACCACACCGGAAGTGGTGCCATAGACAATCCCGCCAAATGTGAAGATGCCAAAGGAGTACTGCTAGTGAAGTTCATGGAACATGGTTCGACCATCAATTCAGATGTCTACTGTGAAACCTTACGAAAACTCAGATGAGCCATCCATAACGAGTCGGGGCATGCTGACTTCCGGTGTAGTGTTGGTCCACCATAGTGCTCGCCCGCACAAAGCTAAACGCACCCAAGAATGTTTGAAGCAGTTCTATTGGGATGTTTTTGATCATCCGCCTATAGCCCAGGTTTGGTGGTGAGTGACAACCACTGTGGAATTTCAAACCTTGTAAGACATTACGACAAGCGCCTCAATTTGAGTGGCGATTATGTCGAAAAGTAATGTAATGTTGTAGTTTTTCCAACGTGTATAATAAAAGTTCTGTATCTGCGAGTGTCTGTCATTGATAACCAAACAGAGGTTTGTTTCCGAATTGCCCTTGTATTTAAAACTCTAGATATGCTTTGGGATTGAGTGACAAAAAAGTATACTGTATCCACCCTCATAGAAAAAGACATTTCTTAAAAGTTTTGCCATTGTTAGACCTTGTTTTCTCCAACATGTTGTTGAAATACGCCTTTGATTGCATGACTTATCTTATTAAAATGTATATTGACATATATACAGGATTGCATGCAAAGATGGTTTACACAGTAAAATTTCTTCATTTTCTGCAGCCCCCTCTGAAAAATAATCTGTTTTGCGGGAGTTTATATCAGGTTTTGGTGTTTTGCAAAAGGAAGAGAAATTTATTTTGTCTGTGGACTTAAGAATAGATGGAGCGTTGCAGTGGCTCAGTGGTTAAGACACACATTTGAGACTCAAGCACCGTGCAACTGGTTGAGCACCCATCTTCACCTAGCTCAGGGGTAGGCAACCTTGGCTCTTTTATGACTCGTGGACTTCAACTCCCAGAATTCCTGAGCCAGCCATGCTGGCTCAGGAATTCTGAGAGATGAAGTCCACGAGTCATAAAAGAGCCAAGGTTGCCCACCCCTGGGCTAGCTCCTGCCCACCTAGCAGTTCAAAAGTATACAGATGCAAGTAGATAAATAGGTACCACTTTGGTGGGGAGAAAACAGCGCTCCATGACACGCTGGCTATATAACCATGGAAGCATCTTTGGGCAGCGCTGGCTCAATGGCCTCAAAACGAAGATGAGCACCAGCTCTGTAGTCGGCAACGTCTAGTAGAGTAAAAATCCTACGGACTTAACTGGGATTCCATATAAGCGAGGAAGCTGTTAGGGATTCATCCATGTTGTTAGGAGGAAACGGCATTCATAGTGAAAAGTTGCACATCTGAACAGTCTACCTGGATTTAGTGATGTGAACAAACCCTTTTGTGTCATCAGGAGAGTGGTGGGTCTGCGAGAACAGATTATCGAGCTATTCAGCTTGCCAAAAAAAGAAAGCAAAAAGGAAATGGGAATGGGAATGACATAGGTGAGTATTAATTATCTCAGTACAGTATATTGTGTATACACCAAACTGGATCTGAGGGTAGTATCATTAAATTTAGACTCCCAAGTTGAATAGAGAATCAGTTTGGTGTAGTGGTGAAGGCATCGGGCTAAAAACCAGGAGACCCTGAGTTCTAGTTCTGCCTTACGCACAAAGCCAGGTGGATGACCTTGTGCCAGTCACTCTTCCTCAGCCCTGAAAGGAGGCAAGGGACAAACGGCTTCTGAAAGATCTTGCCAAGAAAACTGCAGGAACTTATCCAGGCAGTTGCTAGGACTCAAAGCCCCCCTCCTCCAAGGTTAAATAGAGTGGCAATTGTAACTTAAAATTTGCAATATGATCTAAATTCACATTTATTAAGAATTAGCAAGCCTTCAGGCGGCTCACAGCTACCCCAATTTTGAAGCTCCTAGTGGAATATTTATCTTGGCTGTACAGGACATTTTTTTTTTTTAGGGTTGTGAGATAAATTTCATCTGCAGCATATAAATATATACTAGATCCTTGAAGTTGAAACGAGTAATTTTGTACCCACCAGACCTCTAGAAAACACCATTGAATACATCCACACACAACAAACTACTTGCTGAAATACATATTGAACTATTATTTACAAAATAATTTTGGAGGGGGGGGGTTGGGAGCGCTGTAGGCTACAGTATTTAGAATTCTTGCTCAGAATAACTCATATTCTCTCTCCCTCTGTATATGGGTCTGTATAATTTTATCAAGCGTTTTTACATAAGTAAAAGATAAACAAGAGGAAAAGTATATAAAGTAGAAAAAAATGATAGAAACTGTACAGATGAGCAAAGGAAAAAGGAAGTTAAAGAGCAGTTTTGGGTCTTCTTTATAGTAACTACAAGAGAGCCGAGTCCTGTTTTGGGGGGGGGGGTGTTCTGGCAGCTACCTGGAATAGGGAGATGGCCAGAGCCTTGGATAGGATTGTGCCCATTCGAACTGCCTTGGCCTGTCGCTCCCTCTGGTTCACAGAAGACTTTAGGGAGCTGAAAAGAGGAACTTTGTGCATAACTGGTAGATAAAATTGCCTGGATCTGGATCCGTTGGATGCTAAGCATGGTTCAAATCCTGTGGAGATGCCCAGGGAACAGGCTTAATCCATTATTGGGGACAGTTTTACCATGTTGGACCTGAGGAAGTGGGCAGGGTCCTTTGGGCTACAAATGCCATCACCTGTGGGCTAGATCCACGTCCCTCCTGGCTGCTCATGTGGGCGGCTTAAGCAATGATGAATTCACCCTTGACGAGAGGGGGTGATGACAGCTTTTAAAGAGGCAATAGTGTACCCTCTCCACTAGAAATGGTTATTGGCCCCACTATTGTAGACAATTTTTATCTAATCTTCCACCTTTCCTGTTTAGGGAAGGTGGTTTAGAAGATGTTGGTATTTCAATTCCACAGGATATTGGCTGAAATTGATGATCTGGACCCTTTTCAGTCAGGTTTCAGATTTTTATACAGGATAGAAACAGCATTGTTGGCATTTTTAGATTAAGTAATTTTTTTATAATCCTTCCTTTCCAAGGCCAGTGAATATATAATCTTTCCTCCTATTCTGAAAGATCTCCCAGTTCTTAGGAGTAAATTTTTAGAAGATAAAAGTCACTAGGTAATGAATAGGTGTAAAAATTGCTCTTTCTTTTTTTGCAAATAGACTGTATGCGGCCTCAACTATTAATATGCTTAATAACAGTGTTTAAATAATCTGCTCCCTACATGGTAAGATCATATGTTGTATTCAGAGATGTTTAGGAGAAGTATTTTCAGAGATGTAATGACATTTGCTTCAGAATGCAGCTTTATATTTACAAATGCCACCTCTTTATTTCAGGCTCAACTGACTCTGGTATAAGAAAAAGCAAAAATGATAAAGTTAACTGTTTTAGTCCTGGAAATCGGTTATGCAACAGTATTTTGCCTAATGGAAATCTAACAGTAAGAGACCCTTCAGCTGGCACACAGTTTGTTCAAATTCAGTTGCTTCAGGTAACAATTTGCAATTTAACTTATTTATTTATTTATTTATTTATTTATTTATGAGACTTATATACCGCTTTAAGTGCAAGCACTCTCTAAGCGGTGTACACCAGTAAGCAATGTATATATATATTTACATTGCCCCCAACAATCTGGGTCCTCATTTTACCTACCCCGGAAGGATGGAAGGCTGAGTCAACCTTGAGCCGGTGAGATTTGAACCGCTGACCTGCTGAACACAGTCAGCTAAAGTGGCCTGCAGTACTGCACTCTAACTTATGGAAAACAATCTGGGTTTTTTTCAGGAACATGTAGCTGGGATTTGTGATACAATGTGTTGTGGAGATAGCTAGATAGAGCAAGCATGTTAAGATTTGGTGCAGCATACCCAAATTCTGCTTAGGAAATAATTGCAAAGTTTTAAGTTTCCAGTATTTTTTTTTAATCATGTCTAAAATTTCCATCTGGTTTTTTAATCACACGACCAAATCAGTTTTGCCATTCTTTTGCTTCAGAAATAAATATTTGCAATTATTATTTCTTTGAAGGATGCTGATAATAAATAATAGAGAAATGTAAAAAGATGAGAAAGTCAGGGAGGAGGGGGAAAATGAGTTCAGGTGCAATTTTGTGCTCCTCAGCTAAGTGGCTCTAGGACAGGGGTGTCAAACTCAATTTCATTGAGGTCCACATCAGCATTGCGGTTGCCCTCGGGGCCGAGTGGGTGTGGCCAGGGTGGGCATGGATGGAGTGGGTGTGGCCTACTGGGTGGGCATGGCCAGCTCTACATCGTTCACGTCAAGGGTGCCTGTGGGGGCCTGGGCAGGAGTGGGACAGATCTGAGGGTCTCTGGTGAAGGGTGGGACTTTGGCAAGCACCAAGGCATGGTCCATTTCTTCATTCCTCACAAAGGGTGTCACCTCCCCAGCATGCACCCAGGATGTGGGGCCAATGCGGCAGGGGCTGTTTCCTCACTGTTTCTAGACAGCCTTGTGGAGCTAAGATTGAATGCGTTTCAGCATAGATGGCCACCACAAAATTGTACATTGGCTCCCGGCCGGCCAGGGCCAAGGCAGCGGGGGCCGTTCCCTCACTATTTCCAGGATGGCTTTGCGGGCCACATGAAACCACTTCGCGGGCCGCATCCGGCCCCTGGGCCTTGTGTTTGACATGTCTGCTCTAGGATTTCTCCACCTGTGAAAAGAGAGATGTGCTACTAAAAATGTATCCTGGTACCTTGCTGCAGTAATAAATGTACTACTGGTGCATGGAATGTCAGAACCATGAACCAAAACATATTTCATGTCAGATTAGAAATATTGAGATTCACTATTGGCATTATAGAAACCAGCAAACTTAAAGGGGAATGAGTCACTTTATATCAGAGAAGTATCAGATTTTCTACTTCAGAGAAGAAAAATTATAGATGAAATGGAGTACCAGTGTTGCTAATAGATGGATGTCAAAAGGCTCAAAGTCCTCAAACAATAGAATGATATAAATTCAAAACCAAGCCAGTGATCTGAGTCTTCAGTTGCAGAGAAACCTATGAGGACTTGTAGTGCCTTATTAACATGGCACCTAATAATGTCATATACATTATAGGAGCTTCCTAGAATGCTAAAGTTGAAATTAAGATAGCATTTGGAATACAGGTAGTCCTTACTTATCTTTTCTGTTTAGTGATGTTCAAAGTTACAAAACCACTGAAAAAGTAACTTTATGACTGGTCCTTGGACTTATGACCAGCATCCCCCTGGTCATAAGTTTGGATGCTTCACAACCAGCTTCTGAGAAGTGGAATCAATGGAGAAGCCAATGGTAAAACCACAAGTCACAGTCACATGATGTTTTGCTTAACAACCATGTCACTTAGAGACAGAATTACTGGTCTCAGTTGTGACTGTAAAGTGAGGACTACTTGCAATAGAAAAAAATACTTTAGCGACACCATTACCTGGAACAGCTCTTATTTTCTTCACAACAACAACCCTGAGAGGTGGTTTGGTCTGTGAGAGAGTAACTGGCCCAAAGTCACCCAGCTGGCATTCATCTGGTCTTTAGTCAAGCACTTTAATCACTACACCAAACTGGTTCTCCAGTTTCTTTTTTCTTCCGGCAATCTCAAATATGACACCATGAGTGGGTATCACCAAATGGACCACGCTAAAATCAAATTGACTGTATGCTTATTCTGCACACAAAGATGGAGAAGCTCTGGAATGGACTTTATGTTTGTAAAGTGATCAGTTGGTTGTTGGAATAGGAGAATGCTGTTTGTAGTTAGAAACTCATTTTGTCTCCTTTGTTGTTAGGATGATTCTCCAGGAGAAGGAGATCTACCCTTCCAGCTCAGTTCTCAATCTTCCTCCTCACACTCTCAGCTGACAGTAGATTTACCTGTTCATATTCTTCAGGTACAAAACTTTTAAGTTGCAACATTGGATAAATGCAGCTTCAGCTGATTTGCTATCATAACATTAACCACTACTTTATGTTTACAATAAGGTGCCTTCTGTGTTTGGTTGTGCCTTTTAAATTTTATAGTGTAAAGAAGAAGAAAATAATAGAAACATGTGGCAGACTTTTTAGTGAGGATTTTAACTGTTGAGAAATATGAGTAGTTCATTCCTATAAACATGAAGTTAATAGATTTTAAAGAGTGCAGTGTTTTTGTAATCTAAGGAGTGTAGTTGATCAATTGCAAATTGTGAAATTCTGAACCATTCTTTAACATCTTGAATTAAACAGGAGCCACACAATTCTGCTGAAGAAGATGCCAATTCTGATAATTCCCAGTTTACAGGAAGCACCATTAATCTACAAGACCTTGAATGATTTTGTTGGAGATAGAAGCATTGGAACTTTCAGACACAGAAGCATACTGAGAAATAAGAGTCTGTTCCTGCTTTGAAAGGAAAAAGTAAACAATGGAAGCATGCTCACCAGTGCTGGGATGCTTGATGGTTATCGTGCAACAGAAAACTTGTTCAGTAAATTTTATTTGATAAGGCAATTTGAGATCTTGGTATGTTCTATCTTAGAGTCAGGAAAAAGGAACATATGGGGGAATTAAAGTCCTGCATTAGAGTGAACGTGCAGTGGTGATATTCCACACTGATTTTAAGAATAATTAAGAATTAATTAAGAATAATTCTCAAAATAGTAGATAATTAAGCTTAGCACTTTTTTCTTGAAATGAATTAAATTTTGGGTTAAAATGAAGGAATAAGCAGGAAGACCAATTAATTTTTGCAAACTGACATTTTAAAGAGACAAGAGCATAAAAATAGTACCATACTCAGGGATAGTAAAGGTTGAATTAGTAGAGCAATATGATTTCTTGCTCTTGCTATCTCTAATTTAGCATTTTACATTGAACGTGAGAAAGCTGCCTAGCACATGTTATTTCTTACCACTTTGGCTATGTTTACAGTAATATAAAACAGTATTGCCAATTTGTACAAAGTTACCTTTATTACATATACCCATCATGGTGCATTTTTGGTCAAAAATAGGTTTTGCTGATTTCAGTAGAACTTACTGCTAAATTAATGTTGAAATAACGGTCTGCCTACTATTTACATACAGACTATCTGGCTGCAGAAAGAGCTTCCAGCTAGTGTCAGTAGCATATAAAAGTAACATCTTGACCGAAACGAAAAATACATCTTTATATGTTTTTAAAACACCTATCTTTTATTCTAAGATAATAGAATTAATTCGTACAGGCTTTTAAGAAGAAATACTAAGACTTCAGCTTCAGAGAAATAAATGTCAGTATTTTACAATAGAATTTAAGTCTGGAACTTAAAGCATTTTATTCATGACATGCCACATGGCATTAAAATTATACATATGTACGGCTTAGTTAAAAAGTTGTGTGAGCATTGTTGTTTTTTATACAAAGATATCCTACAAAGGAACACTTTCGAATTTTGCTTATTTATTTACAGTTAGGAGAAAATTAAAGGTTAATTGCTTTGAATATATGAGTGAGCAACAAATTTCTCTAAATTGACCCTTCTTCCATCACATTCTAAATTTGTATTCTTGGAACTCATGCTTAAGTAAAACTAGCCTTGCCCTATCACCTCTGCAACATCTTCTAGCAGCACTGACAAAGAGGAAGAGAGATAAGCAGCCTTCTCTGGACCTTATACTGTTCACTGTGCATCATGTGGCCTTCTCTGTTTTGGAAGTCAGGAGCCTTAGGAAATATATTCCCTAGACCTGTTGAAATCCGAAGGGAGGTTCCCGGGCCTGGTCTCCCTTATACAATATACCAGGAGGATATTACGTCTCAAATGGCTTTGGAAATATTATTTTCTACTGTGTTATTAAATCGTGGATAAATTCTGTCTTGGATTATTCACAATAGATTATTCCAAATTAAGAGGACTTACCCATAAATAGAAATATACTAATTGATGCCTGTGCCTTTTGAACTTCATTTTCAGAAGAATGTAGTTTAGAAGCATTTTATACAGATTACATTAATTCAGATTTTGATTTGTGGATTTTTTTTTTTTTTTTTTTTTTTTTTAGAAAAAAGAAAATCTTGGGTGGGTATTTTTCATTGACCGTAAAACATTTACCGGACTATCTTGACCTATTACTATACATTTACATTATCAAAACAAATTATTTTCATTTCTGATATAAAACCTCTCAGTGGAGAAAGTGAAGAAATTGCTTATTTTTAAACATCTTGTCTTTTCTTTCTATCACCAAGGTTCAGTTTTCAAGATGAATGGGGGCATTTTGCCCTCAACAATTGTCACTTCAAAAACTCAGTGGAATAGTTCACACACTTACTGTGATTGTGATCCTCTGTAAACTGTAATGCAAGCACACCTGTCTGTTATAAAGATACACAGGTAGATTTAGATTAAATAGGTGGACCAGAAGAAGCCTGTTCATTCCTTATTCCTTTTCTTTGAGTAAAAAAAACAACATTTTGTGATTTCCATAGTAGGCGTGGCTTCCATTTCCTACTAAGTATGGGGCAGACCACTCAATTCTTTTTAACTCAAAGAGGATCCCTAACTTGGTAAGAATGTGAATTGTATCCATTTGTTGTGGTGCTTCTGTTTTACGGAGTCTTGCTTATTGAAAAATAAGTAATTGCTTTTCTTGGACAGACAAATGTGTTCTTTTATGAAGTTTATATACTCAGTTTTAACTCTCATTGTAAATTTCTAATTGCTTGAGAGCAAGCATTAGATTTATTCTGGCAAAGTCCATTGCTGGCAATGGATATTTATAATCACGGAGTTAAAAGGACTAATAAAATTAATTAATGTCCAGTTTCTTCATTTCAACTTTTATTTTTGTGATATCCATAGAATCTGCTTAATTACAAAAAAATTGAATCTCATATTGAAGATAGAATTTTTTTTTAAATCATATTTGTCACTGATATATCTATTTTCCTAGCTGCAAGACTTTAATTTGTGATCTTTGGTCACTTTGGTAGACATTGTTTTCTATCACTAAGTTTTCATTTATTGACAAAAGAAATTGAGCAACATTTGGATTTCTGACTTACAATTATGAAAAGATGTCGTCTATATTTTGATCTATTGTATGTTGCTATACTTAGGATAGAGTTAGCTTTCTCCCCAAATTTGCAGAGTTATCTGTTGAAACATTTTCTTGTTAAGATTGTCATTTGCGGTATGCTTCATAATGTCTAGCAGCTTTCAACTGCTAGGTAAAGTAATAGAGCAGCTCTTCTTTTTCTTTATCGATCAGCCCCTGATCCTCATCTTCTTTCTCCTTGAAAGCGGGAGGCTCAGAACGAAAAATTAATCTTCGGCCAGTCTAAAAAATGATCACAGGGACACTTAAGAACAACTCTGCATATTTTATACTGAAATAATGCAAATAAATTCATTTTGCACTAAGTGTATATCGGTCAAAGCAGGGCCAACTTCTGACCACCTTTTTTTATCTGAGCACGGTTTTATTTCTTCCTTCCATAAAGAAGTTTCTAACAATGCTTCTTCCCTTCTATCATTATTTCATTCAAAATGAGTATAACAGAAAGAAATATGGCTTCTTCCAGGAAGGACTATTCCTTCCTGGAATATTTAAAAATATTTAGAATATTTAAAAATTTGAAGTATTTTTTACCTGTCTTTCTTGGCAGAAATAAAATAAAAATAATTACAGTTGTGTTTATTATTTGGTAAACTAAAAGCTATGTAGAACACCAGTAATAATTTCTCTACCACTTCATTCAAATGCCTGATTTAATGTACAATGACTCAGAAATTCTCTATGATTTGTGATTTCTAATTCTCAAATCATAGTTAGGTTCAGTACGTGACCTCATGAGTTATGGAAGGCATGTGTGAACAACAACAAAATCCCCAGAGAATCATTTCAAAATGTTCAATTTGGAAAGTAAAATATCTGGTAAAATGTTAGAACTGATATTTTGTGTAGGTATAAAGTTCTTTATCTATAATCAGGTAGTATTACTCTGCCATTGCTGAAATAAACTTGTGTCGCACCTCTAGGATAGCAGCCTATCAGTGCTACTGTCTTGGTGCTGCTTGATAGATGTGTATTATTTTTATATATAAGGAATTCTACCTTTCTGGTACTTCTGCATCACTGAGAGTGGCTAGCAGTAGTTAAGGTCAGTACAAAGCATTGAAATAGTGAAATAAATTATGAGGTAGTAAAAACAAAAAAGGTTTATCGCTTCCTGTAAAATGAAATTGTAATCGCGGTTAAGTGCCAACCTGGGTTCCCAAATTACTGGAGTTCTAAATTCTCATGTATCCAGTAATACAGGGGTGTCAAACTGACGGCCCGTGGGAGGTTGCATCATTTGGAGGCCGCACCCACGCCAGCTCCAGCAATGTGAAAAAAATTGTGATATGTTGTGACATGTCATGGGACACGCCGAGTTTGACACCTGTGCTCTAATATGTTCCTTTGCTGAGCAACAGCCAATTTATTTATTTGCATTACCAATCACACTTTTGGTATAGTAGTGATGTTGAAAATCACCAGAAGCCTTATATAGGCAACCCCTAAGGCAGAGTTGTCAAACTGGCGGCCCACAGGCCAGATGCATCACATGCAGGCCACGCCCACCCCGGCTCTGCAAAGGCAAAAAATGTCACAATACGTCACGTAATGTGATCGAGTTTGACACCCTTGCCTTAAGGCAAAGGTCCCCAACCTTTTTGGCACCAGGGACTGGTTACATGGGGAGAGGTTTTTCCATGGACCAGAAGGGGCGTGGTTTTGTGTGCTGCCTACATCCTATGGATGGGGCTTTCCTTGTTTATGCGGACCGGTTGCTGGTGTGCCATGGCCCAGTACTGGTCCACGGAAAGGGTTGGGGACCCCTGCCTTAAGGTATTCTGGATCTAAGCCATTTAGAATTTTAAAGATAATAAATGCTTCAAATTGTGCCTGGAGAGAGCCTGTTAAGCAACGCAGACATGGTTCTACTTTTAAATGTGCTAGATTTCTCTGTTCCTCTGTTACCGCAGCTCTAAAGCTTCTGAAAGATCCAGAGGATAGTTCCATGCAAAGCACATTGCAGTTACCTAACTTACATGTAACTAAAACGTGTCATTATTGTGGTCTTTTCTAACTTTATTAGGAGCTGATCCAGTTGGCATATATACTAAAAACGGATTCTTCAGAGAAAGATGATCTTATCGAAAATCAGCTGAATTACTACTCAAATTTTTATTTTCTTCCACTAAGGCATCTCTGTTTTAAGATTATCTCCATTTATAAGGATTGGTTTTCTTTTAGTCCATTGTGGTCAATCTCATGCGTTGATTCAGAACATGAACAATTTCCTCAACTCAATATTGCCCCCACCAATACTGGCTCCTCAGTTTTATCAATGAGGGATGGAAGTCCGAGTTAACCTTGAGCCCGTCAGGATCGAACACCTGGCAGTGAGCAGAGTTAGCCTGCAATACTGCATTCTAACTACTGCACCACCACAGTTGCTATTATTATTATTATTAGTAGTAGTAGTAATAGTAATCCTTACTATTTTCATTATATGTAATAGTAAAGTGTAGAAAGAGGAAAGCCTGAGCTAGGTTTTCACTTTATAGCAAGAAATATCACTAATCAAAAACCCCTTTGGACTTGCAATCTTTGGTCTTAGAAACAAGGCACAAAGGTGGATACTGAATCCAGTCATACCTTATTCTTGTTCGTGTGTAGACATGAAGGGTCCTTGGTGCTCCCTCAGCTTCCTTGTTTTCTTGCAGACATTTCAATGCCCAAACTAGGTAATATCAGTGCTAGTGATGTTACCTAGTTTGGTTAATGAAACAACTGCAGGAAAACAAACAAGTTCAGAGGGCACCAAAGACCCATCATTTCAACCCTGAGCTACAAATATTCTCCTTTATTGGTGCCTCGTGTATAAACCGTTCTGAACTAGAGTTACGAAAGGCTTTGGATGGGAGAATTGATAAAATAGTCTGAGCTACTGAAATCACAAAAAGATGCAACACCAGATGCTCAGGAGATACTCAACATACCTTCTTCTTAACATCAGCTTGTGCTCTTGCCAGGGCCCGCTGCAGCCTCTCCTCTTGCAACTGTCTCTGCTGCCTTATCTTTTCTTCTCTCATCCTGGCCAAATAAAAGAGCAGATTAAAAGTTTAGAATTGCAAGTCACATAAGCCCAAAATTGTCTTGGAGAATTCTACTGAGTGTTGGATCCACAAAGACCTTTGCTCTTCACATAAATGCTATGTTGAAAAAGTAGCTCCAAAGGGGTTAAATGCTTCTTGTGTGTCTGTTATCTGATTCATTGTCTTAGCTGGTTCTAGGATCAGTATATTGACCAACTCTCTGGCATGTACTCCGCAAAATGGAGCTTTCTGACAATTTTATTACCTCTATCAGAATCTTTATTGAAAGCGCTGGTGCAGTTCAAACTGTCAGTTTCACATGTCCCTGTTAAACCTGTATGACTGTCAAAAAGCAAACATCCAAATGATGCTTGTAAGGCCAGATGTTTCTATGCATGTTTTCTGTGCATAAGAGCATAAGATTCATCCACATTGTACTATTAACTTACAATTTGCAATCAAAGCTAGATGGTGGCCTTCATTTGATGCTCTTACCATGCTTACAAAGCAGTTTTGATGGCAACAAGTACCAGGGCAACCTTGGCTCTTTTATGTCTTGTGGACTTCAACTGCTGGCTCAGGAATTCTGGGAGTTGAAGTCCACAAGTCATAAAAGAGCCAAGGTTGCCTACCCCTGAACTAGAGGATGCACAAAAGGAGGTGGAGAAGGAATGTAATCTTCCTCATTCTGTTGAAGGCACCATATTGGAGCCAACCCTGAATAGGATTTTTATCTTACCTCATCCTTCGTTCTTTCTCTTTGGCTTTCTCAGCCTGTTCTATCTTTCCTGGAGGTACCCTCTCAAGGCATTCTAATAAGTCATCTAACTGGTGTTCGATAACAGTGAGCATCTGCAAAGTTCCTAGGTTTGCCTCATTCTCTCCAATGCAGCGACGATAGACTTCCAGCACCTTTCGATGCAAACTCACCAACATTTTGTCCTGCAAATTAAGGTAAACTTTCAGGCTTCACAAATCTAGGTTCTAGGACATTCACATCAGTTTTCAGTTATATTAATAACATCAACTCAATGCCCTCGCATCTGGCGCCTAGCTGTGACATGATCTCTGGATAGTAGGAGGCAACCAAAAACATAAACATTTGAACCTCTCCAGATGGGAAAAGCTACAGAAAGTAAAACATTACAAAGCATTGCATGTACACACACACACACACACACACACACGCTTAGATGAGCTCAGATCTGATCTCGTTTTTCTTCTTCAGTGAGGTTGGGACTTTATCAGCATGCCACCTAAATCTTCGCCATGTCTCTTTTTTACCTTTTCATAAGATCTGGGTGAAGAATCTCAGGGAAAGAGCATGAGGTGGAGATTGCCAGTATCCATTTACCCTGTTCAAGATGACAGCACTGTTTCTTACTCCTGGCTTCATTCAGGCTCATTGCAGAGTTGACAATCAGAACAGAGAATCCAAGTTATCTTATGGACTCGGGAACGTGATCTTATGATCTTGTAACATTTTCTTTTCCCCTTTTCGTAGCTATTGTAGCCCATTTGCACCGTTCTGTGGGACTGGGTCTATACTGCACATACCTTCTGATCTTTAGGCTCAAGCTTTATCAATTGACTTGATGCTATGCATACCTGAACATCTGCTTTGTACTCCCCAAAAGAAAAGACGCGTGCTTTAAGTTCCAGGTCTGCGGCGGTCTCCTCCTCTTTAACAATGTTGGCTTGCAGAGTGACAGCAAGCAATTTCAGCTGTTCTATTTCACGATCCCTAATCCAGAAAAAAAAAAATGAAGTCATGTTTGGAAGAGTTTGACATGAGTAATTTTATACACTGCAATTACTTGGAAAGATGAGCTAATTCAATATAGGCTCAGTTCTTCCTTGGTTAAACCAGATTTGCAGCATTTTCTTTAGAGCTGTAAGTCCAAAGTCCAGCTTTCCACAGGCAAGATTATCTTCTTTCGACTCCCAGGTCCTGGATTTTCCCAGCCCCTCTATGCTATTGACAAAGTTTTGTGATGTCTCGCCAGCATTCCTCCATTTTCTCTAAGTGATTAGCTTTTTGTACTTTTCTCTTGACACGTGGCTCTTGGCTCCATGGGGGAACTGGGTACAACAGCGGAATAGTGGCGCTACGATACTATTACTGAGGATATAAAGTGTGTGGAAGCTGGCCTGTGTCCTTTTCAGGAGGGAGCACAGGGTCTTTGAGGTAGCCAAACCAGTTAACACTTGGGGAAAAAATCTGAGTAAATGTAAATAAACATAAATGAGTATGTTTATTTATTTATTAGATTTTTATCCCACCTTATAAATAACTTAGGGCAGCAAAAATACCGAATACTCCTTCTCCTCCTATTTTCCCCACAACAACCCCATGAAATGAGTTGGGCTGAGAGAGAGTGACTGGCTCAAGGTCCCCCAGCTGGCTTTCGCACCCAAGGCAGGACTAGAAATCACAGTCTCCAGGTTTCTAGGTCAGCACCTTAACCACTACACCAAACTGGCTCTCTATGCCAGTGGTTCTCAATCTTTTTATACCGGCGACCCCGGTCATAAGGAGGCGGTGCGCATGTGCGCCACCGCCCCCTGTGCAGCACGCATGTGCGGTGCCACCCCGTGCAGCACGCATGCGCGGCACCACCCCCTGCGCAATGCGCATGTGCGACGCCCCCCATGCGTTGCCCCTGCGTGACACATGCGCGGCGGTGCCCCATGCACAGCGCGCATGCACGGCGGCGGCCCATGTACCGCCCCCTGCGTGGCGCGCATGCGTGGTGCCGCCCCCTGCACCGGCTGAGGAAAAAAATGGCGGATCGCGTTGTTTGGCGACCCCCGTGAAATGGTCGTTCGACCCCAAATGGGGTCGCGACCCACAGGTTGAGAACCGCTGCTCTATGCTGAGATGCTCTGTACTAATATTTAAATCATAATAATTACTGCTAACAAGGTTTTATCATGTAAATGATCATGTCCACATTTTAATTAAGGCTGCTATTCTTACCATTTGTGGCAATTTGAACTATTTAAAAAGTTTTAGCTTATGGAAACATGCAAGACTGCATGGAAATCAATAGCTGGCAGAAATAGATGAATGAAGCTGGCGTGTCTTGACATCTCCTGATCTTTTACTCTCAAAAGTGGAATGGAAGAAATCGGTTGAAAAATCTTACAAATGTCTCTTCCGTTTTTGTTTCTCACAATAGATGCTAATATGTCTAGGGCTATGGGAGATGTAGGGTAGAACATTTTTTAACAGCAGGGCAGAAAAGCAATATTGTTGGATGGCTATCATAGAGCTGTGGTGGCACAGCTAGAATGCTGCCAGCAGTTCAGCAGTTCAATCCTGAACAGCTCAAGGTTGACTCAGCTTTCCATCCTTCCGAGGTCGGTAAAATGAGGACCCAGATTGTTGGACGCTACATGCTGACTCTGTAAACTGCTTAGGGAGGGCTGTAAAGCACTATGAAGCGGTATATAAGTCTAAGTGCTTTTGCTATTGCTATAGATCAGTGGTGGCGAACCTATGGCATGGGTGGCAGAGGCGGCACTCGGAGCCCTCTCTGTGGGCACGCACACCGTTTCCCCAGCCCCACCTCCACCTCAGCCCCCTCCTCACCAGCAGCCCCCCTGGAGGAGAGTCGCCCCTGGGCAATAGGGACAAGACTCCGCCCTCGCATTCCATAGCGTGCAGATGATGCTGCGGGGTGTGGACAGAGGGCATGGCTGCCATGGTGCTGCAGGGCTGCTTGGCAATCTGCTGCAGCAGGCTGTGGAGGTGGTGCATGCCCTGAAGGTGGGTGGGGCAGGGGGTGGGTGGGGGCGGAGCAGGCAGGGCGGGAGGCAGAGCAGGGGCAGGGTGGTGGTTTTTGGGCACCCGATCTCTAAAAGGTTCGCCATCAGTGCTATAGGTACACAAATAATAACTGAGACCATTTGTTGCTCATTTTTGGAAAGAAATAGAATATCCTTGTGTTGCAGGGGATTATTATACTGTAGGCCAGTGTTTCTCAACCTTGACAATTTTTAACGCTGGCTGTGGAATTCTTGGAGTTGAAGTCCACATGCCTTAAAATTGTCAAGGTTGAGAAACACTGCTGTAGGCAATCATTTTTACTTGCTTACATTTTATTGCGCGTGTTAACCAAAGTGTGCCGGAGCTCATCCAAAGTTTCCTCTGTCTCCTGAGAATTCTGAATCAGAGACAGGTTCTGTTCTTCCAGCTCTGTGAAAAGCTGCAGCAGCTGCTGTGGATCTGTAAAGTCTAATTCAGGTACCTGCCAAGGAAAGTAGTAACATGAAGGAGTCTTGTATTGTCAATCAAGTTTAGATATTAAGAGAAAAAGCAATCTTTTGTTGTTGTTTTTTGGTCCTAGATTAACTTTGCTAATCATTTCTCCACAGCACTGATAAAAAGTTAAATTATAGCTAATTTTAGTGGCAGAAAAATGGTGGAAGAGAGAAAAACAATTATCTATCTCAACTGTGAGATGGGCAGCATATAAATTTAATAAATAAGTAAATAAATAAAATATCTACAGTGTCTATCTCTAGCTAGCTAACTAGTTATCATCTATCTCTGTCTTATCATCTGCACTTTGGTGCTGTACTTCAATGAGTACAGCCAAATCAGCTAGTGAAGTAAAGGGTTACATATTAGGCTGGGCCTCTGAAAAATCCACTTCACATTCTTATTTAATGACAGAGTTCCCTGGGCTACTATTTCTTCTTCCAAACTACTTCACCAGATTATTGAATAAATAAGAAAAGATTAAATAAAGAAAGATCCCATCCACATGTGACCACCTTGAGTGAGGTGGGCAACTCATAATCTTATAGAGCCCAACCACATTTTTTGCAACATCAGTATTGTGCCATCAAAATTCAAGATGAAAATTATAATTTTTAAAGGTGCGATTGTCCTCCATTTCTTAGTTTAAACTTTTCAGTACCTTTTAAGCTACTAAAACTTTGCAGCCCTATTTCACCTTAAGAATTCCAGCTTAAAAATGTACAATTAATTGCTGAACTCCATCAGTGGTGCAGTTATATGCTAAAAACATTGAATTGCTAACCTCATCATCATCTTCATCAGATAATTCTGGAGTAAATTTTTCTTCTGATGGGGCAATCTGTACACTCCTGTAGAAGTTATTCCTGAGTTAGTTGTTTACAGGGATTACAATGCAATGTTTATTTTATAGTTTATCTCACTCAGTGCTTTTTTTCTAAAAAAAAAAAAAAAAAGTGCCGGAATTCACACACATCATACAACCCGCCTTGCCTACCCAACAAGGTTCCATCCAAAATAGGTGCCAGAACTCCGTTCTGGGCGTTCTATGAGAAAAAAAGCCCTGATCTCGCTGATCCCTCAACATGTATTTTGAACTGGAGTTGGAAATGGATGGCAAGCAACTGTTTTCCACTTTGTAGAAAGTTGGAAGAGATGACAGCATATCCATAGATGAAACCTATTAAACTGATTCAATCATTTATCCTCTTTCTCAGGAACTCTGGCAATTGTAGTTTTTTGCAGGAAATCTCCACACACTTTTCTAATAGATTATTTTAAGGGTGCCCTTATGCTATGTTCACCTGATGACTACCTAGACACAATCAGACAATTTTTTTGGCCATATTATACAAGTAGTTTGCCATTGCTTTCTTTGGGATTTTTTTTTCTGTTTTCCTATCTAGCCAAGAACTTGAGCATTCTCTGATGGTCTCTTACCCAAATGTTAACCAGATTTACTCCTGTTAAGCTTTTGCAAGATTTGCTAAGTTCTGCTACATGCTACTACTACCTGTTTCCTTTCAGTTAATGGTTGGACTTCCTTTTCTCCTGTATGCTTCCATTTTTTCCCCTGAAAGGGTGACAACATTTCATGGCAAATTTTCAAAATGGGAATATGGAGGGGAGAAAAGGGAAGTCCCATTAGAGAAGCAGAGAGCTATTTGTACAACAGTGGATACATAATTCCAGTGCTTTTTTTGTAAAAAAAAAAAAAAAAAAAAAGGTGCCGGAACTCAGACATGTCATACATCCCACCTTGCCTGTCCTACAAGGTTTCATCCAAAAAAGGTGCCGGAACTCTGTTCTGGGAGTTTTATGACAAAAAAAGCCCTGCATAATTCTAAGAAGAGAAAGTGGAAAGAGAGCATTGAAGATGCAAAGTCAGTTATAAATAGATGTAAACTGACATCATCATGGAGCGGGTGGCTCACAAGGTTAGAACACTGAGCTGCCAATCAGCAGACCTGCATTCAAGACCCATCATTCCCACGACGTGGGGTGAGCTCCCATCATACACTCCAGCTCCTACCAACCCAGCAGTTTGAAAGCAGACAACTGCAAATAGATTAATGAGTACCACTTCATGGACAACTTCAAACCACATGAAACAGTGATGTTACGGTTGTTCGGGTTTTCTCCCACGTAAAATTGGAAGTGTCTGGGCGACGTTTCGACGAAGTCCCATTCGTCATCTTCAGGCTGGTGTTTTCAGCTTCGTGCTTTGAGCAGCAATGTGTGGTCTTAGCTATTTCTTCCTTTTAACTGCCAGTGGGGGTATGAACTGATTGGGTGGGAGCTTGGCTGTGTTCTGATTGGGTGGAGGTGTGTTCTGATTGGTTAGGGGCTTGGCTGTGCTCTGATTGGCTGGGGGGTTGGCTGTGCTCTGATTGGCTGGGGGGTTGGCTGTGCTCTGATTGGCTGAGGGAGTGTTCTATTTGGTTGTGCTCAGGTTAGTCTGAGTTGCAGAGGGGTTTGAGATTTTGGGTTGCCTTGCTATTTTTTGGCTTCGCGTTCGTGGTCGTGCTTCCTCTTCATGGAGGGTGTCGGTTTGCTTCATGTATGGATTGGAGGGGTTTAAAGTGGCTAATGATGCAGCTGTGGTCTGGCTTCTGGTTTGTGGTCGTGCCTCGTCATCGGTGTGGCTTTGGGTTTGTTTTTTGCGTGGATGTGTGGTGGTGACATCCTGTGTGTTTTTTGTGAGTGTGGGTCTGGTATCATTTTTTGTGTTAGGGAGTCGTTTGTCAATAAGGGCGGGTTTCCAAATGGCTGGTAGGCGGGAGGTATCATCTTGCTTGTTCATGCTGTGTGGGGGTTTTTCTATCTCGATGGCTTCTCTGATTATTCTGTTATTAAAATGTTCACTTTTGGCAATGGTTCTGGTATTTTTAAAGTCAATTTCATGTCCTGTGGCTTTAAGGTGTTGGACCAGGGAAGATGTTGGTTCCTCTTTTTGACTGAGTTCTTATGTTCTTCAATGCGTGCACTTATTCTTCTGTTGGTTTGTCCGATGTATGTGGTGGGACAAGTGGTGCATGGGATTTCGTATACTCCTTGATTTTCTAATTAAATTTTATCTTTGGGTTTTCTAAGGATGGTGGATATTTTTCTGTTTGTGCAGAATGCTGTTTTGATGTTGTGTTTATGGAGGATCTTACTGATTCTGTCTGTGGTGCCTTTTATGTATGGGAGGAGGGCTTTGCCGTTTTCTTGTTCTTTGTCTTGGATTTTAGTGGGGGTTTCTTTCCACTAAAAAAACCCCACCAGATCTAAAATAAAAGTCTCCCCCATTAGCGAAGAGATCCAGCAAAGAATCATTCCCAGAGAGAAATCATCCAGATGCCCCAAACTCTATGGTCTCCCCAAGATACACAAAGAAGGAACCCCACTCAGACCTATAGTCAGCTCCAATAACCAAAGACCTACATACAAACACCCGCGAAAACCTCAGAAAACATATATATATATATATATATATATATATATATATATATATATATATATATATATATATATAAAATTTATTGTTAAAACAACATTTAAAACAATAAAAACAGTTATATACAAGATTAAAACAACTTAGCTTTCGCTGGTCCCCTGCCAGCATCCTCAGAGTGGGGCTTAGGGGGTGGGAAGTTCTTTTTATCCCCTTGCTGATCCAATTGCCTACTCATTGCCCTCGTGACAGGGCCACTCTTCCTGATTGCCTGTGACTGCCTTAACTGTTCCGCCCTCTCTTTTTTGCACTCAAACATTGTATTTTTCTGCTCCATCATCCTTGTGCTGTCTCCCCCTCCCTGCGCTGTTATCATTAACACACTCCTCAATCCCTCCTCTCTACCCAATGCAAGGTGCCTCCTCCGATTCGGCAATACACGAGTCCTGTTGGGCTGCTGGTCCGCCTGCCGTTTTTGCATTCCATTGCCAGTTCCTATCTCATCTCCCTCCTCCAACTCCCTAGCCTGCCAATTCATACACCCTTTGTTGTCCATTCCTGTCATCCTTCCCCCCCTTCCTTCAACCCTCCCACCTGCTGATTAACATATTGCTCCTGCCTTTCATCAACCATTCCTATTGATGTTCTCTTCCTCAATGTCTTTTCCTTCCTGATCCACTGCTCTACTTGCTGTTCCTGTTTACCCTCCTCCCCCACTGTCCATCTTCCCCTCTCCAATGTCCTCCCCATAATCTGCTGACTTACCTGTTGTTCATCCATTTCTGTCCATCCTCTCTTTTCTAACATTCCTCCTTCTCTGACCTGCTGTCCTACATGCTGTTCCCACATGCCAACATCCATTCCTATTAAACCCTCCTTCTCAAGCTTTCCTCCCCCCCAATCTGCCGTCCTGCCTGCTATTCTTATCTGCCCTTCTCCTTTCCTGTCAGTCCCCCCCTCTCCTGTTTCCTCCCCCCCTCTCCAATCCACAGCTCTGTTTGCTGTTCCTTCCAGCATTCTTCCTCCCCTTACCTGCTGTCCTACGTACTGTTCCCATCTACCAACCTGCGTTCCTGTTGGACTCTCCTTCCCAAACTTTCCCTCCCCCAAAACTGCTCTGCTGCCTATTATTCCTGCCTGCCCTTCTCCATTCCTATCAACCCCACCCTCTCCTGTTTCCTCCCCCCCTCTAATCTGCAGCTCTACCTGCTGTTCCTGGCTATTCTCCTCCATTCTTACTCCCTTCTCAAATATCCCCTCTCCCCCCCGTGAATATGCTTCCAATTTTACGTGCCTCATCTCTCTCTCTCTCTCTCTCTCTCTCTCTCTCTCTCTCTCTCTCTCTCTCCATATATATATATATATACACACACACACACACACACACACACACACACACACACACACAAATGGCAATATATACAAAGCTTGACTTGCACAAGCCACCAGCATTTATATGTAGTGCTCCATACATCCCACATCTTTGCATTTATTCTCATTTGAGAGGCCAAAATAAAGGCATAATTTGAAAGATGTAAGGTAATATACTGTATTATTTTCCTGTGAGATCCAATACCTAATTTTGGTGATTTTGATTCCTCTCTGTCTCTCTCCCGACTCACTTCCCTGACATACTTACGGTTTCCTGTTCTGTTGAGACTTTAGAGTCTGCCTAGAAGATACTCTGCTTAATTTGAAAGACTCCTTTCTAGACAAAACTTGGCTTGGTGTTCTAGAAGAGGGAGGCTCTATGTTAGCCACATCAAAACTAGAATGTTTTCGACGTCGGCTCTTGTCTTGAAAATCTTGAAGATCCTTCCCTGAATCTGAATACAGAAAAGCCCATTAATTGTGTCATCCTCATTTGAGTGTTACTGTTTGGAGAGAAAAAGGTAAAAAGGCTATTATTGGTAAGTCATGATAGAAAGAGGGATGGGTACAATTGTTGGTTTTGTTCATTTTAATGACTAAAAGTTTGGTTCTACATCAGTTTATTAATGCAGCCAAAAGAAAAGAGAACACCCACCTCTCCCATCTATACCTCTGTGAAGATATCCTCTAAAATATATATATTTTAATGTGAATCTGTGATGGAGTGTAGTAAGGAGGTGGATTTCCAAGGAGGGAGGGAGTGCATTCTAGAGGAGTAAGAGGCAACTCAGCTCAAATATTATGTGTGAGAGAAAGAGAGTGAACACAGCCCCTCCCCTAATAGTTCAGAAAGTATATTGTAGATACAGATAGTATAGTGCTTGGTATGGTATGATTTTGTGAAACAATAAAGAACTCTGCTTGGATGAATCATCACATGTCATTCTTGGTTTGGGGCCTGACAAAGTTCCTTACTATGTGTTTTTGTGCATATTATAAGATATGCAAAGTGTGAATTTTGTCATGAGTACATACTCCAGATATGATAATTTGTTAACATTATTAATAATGCATTTGTTTAAAACTTTTGAAGAGCCGAATAACTATATACTATAAAAAATGGAAAAAGTCATAGAGCATGAAGAATAAAATATTAGTAATAAAGGATTTACAATTATACCATTTGAAATTCATTATTTTTTCAATTAATTAAATGTGTAGAACTAGATTTGTTGTATCATTTTAAGAAATAAGAGTTGCTTGACAGTAAAATGGGTGGCATATAAATTTAAGAAATAAATAAAATAACTAAATAACTAAAAATCTCTATAAAACTCTAATCATTAGTATTAATATTGATATCACTACTATTTTTCATTCTTCCAAAAATAAATGCACATAATCAAGGGAAGGGAAGGGGCACTTTAAAAAAAGATTTGTATACAGATCTAGTACTGAGAAAGAAAAATCATATAATGAAAATCTGTATCGGTCGTACACTTTTCTCAGTGTTGCTCATTGTTTTTGACAGTAAGCAATTGCAGAATACATTTATCTTTCCTGACTCTAAAGACTGAAAAAGACCAAAGTCTTGTAAGTTACAGTCCTTATTTAGTCTCATTAGTTACCCTTTAAATATAAGCAAACAATACAAGGAAAATGGAAATTAGAGCAACGTAAGTAATAATTAATCAAATAAACATGATGAAAATAGTGTCTGAATCATTTTAAATAGACAGTATTTTGCTCACTTTCTCACCTCTTGAGAGGTTCATGAGTCTTTTATTATTCCCCACATTATAATTAAGTCTGACACAATAAGATGTATTTTACCATAACTTGGTATATCCTGTATAGCTAGTAACAGTCACAAATGCCTACATCAAACACATGAAGGAAAGATACTCATCTTATGATGAGATCTAAAAAACAAAAAGGTACATTGATTTTCCCATGTTCTTTGGCAAATGAGTTTATTCATCACCTTCTAGAAAAACTGAATAGAAAAACAATAGTGTTGTTTTTAATTATTGTTAATTGCGACGTCGTATCCGACCCATCGCAACCCCATGGACAACTTTCCTCCAGGTCTTCCGTCCTCTACCATCTTCTGGAGTCCATTTAAGTTCACACTTACTACTCCAGTGACTCCATCCAGCCATCTCATTCTCTGTCGTCCCCTTCTTCTATTGCCCTCAATCTTTCCCAACATTAGGCTCTTCTCCAGTGAATCCTTCCTTCTCATTAGGTGGCCAAAGTATTTGAGTTTCAACTTCAGGATCTGGCCTTCTAAAGATTAGTCGGGGTTGATCTCTTCTGGGACTGACCGGTTTGAACGCCTTGCAGTCCAAGGGACTCGCAGGAGTCTTCTCCAGCACTATAGTTCAAAGGCCTCAATTCTTTGGCGCTCAGCCTTTCTTATGGTCCAACTTTCACAGCCATACATTGCAACTGGGAAAACCATGGCCTGGACTATACGCACTTTTGTTGGCAGGGTGATGTCTCTGCTTTTTAGTATGCTGTCTAGATTTGCCATAGCTTTCCTCCCCAGGAGCAAGCCTCTTTTAATTTCTTGGCTGCAGTCCCCATCTGAGGTGATCTTGGAGCCCCAAAAAATAAAATCTGTCACTACCTCCATTTCTTCCCCATCTATTTGCCAGGAATTGAGAGGGCCAGATGCCATGAACAATAGTAAAATAAAATAAAAACAATAGTAATATGATGTAAATGACAGTAATTTTCTTTTCTTGGTTTCAGAGTGAATTCACAGAATCAATAGACAAGCCAGTCATTTTAGAAAGCACATATTCATACTATAATTATACAGAATGAACAAAGATCAGCTCAAAATTGGGTTGTTTTGTTTCATCAATATAGATATATGTGCATGTGAAGCAAAATGCTTTTTAGGAGAAGGAAAGAAAATACTCAAGAATAGCATTTGAATACTGTTGTGAAATACTTTAAGAAATCTTAAGAAATTTAAAATGTTTGCAGTGGTAAAAAGTTGGCTCAACTACTTTGTTTTTAAAATGTAAGCATAACTCTATATTGATTTTGCCTCAAAATGGATTCCACAGCCAGTTTTAATAATATAAAAGAAAGAGACATAAAAGTGGGATAACATGAATGTATGGAGTATAATTTGAACAATGATAGCTTAATGGAAGCACCTTTAATACCAGTTAATTTGACAAGACAGTAGAATTTACCGGTTTAATGTGTTAGAAGTTCTCCGTACTATTATTTTTATTATCTGTAATTGTATCATGTGGCTTGGCTTTCCTCCTGGTTGGTTTCTTCTGAAGATGGGTGAGGTTCAGTAATGGCCTCTGAAGACCTATTGTTATTTCTATGCAGATCTGAGAATCATATACAGTCTTGGGATTATGGAAATGCTTACCTTTTGACAGTGATTTTTCATCTTTATTCTCAGAATTGTCTTTATTCGCCTTTTCTTTCATCCGTCGTCTTTCATGATCTTCCCGCCATTCTTTGGGAGACAGTTGATAGAGGAAATCCTTGAACACCACGTACTCCTGCAAAGTGTCCTCAAACCGGGCTATCTCACTGAAGAAAAGAAACAGTCATTGCACTGAGAGCAAATGGAGATTACTCTCCGGCACTTCCAAAGGACACCGTTGTGGAAAATTAGTGTAGGCATAAAGCTCCTCTCAACAAGTACAGATTTCCAGAGAAAATAAATTGATAATCATAAATTTTTTAGACCAATCCATCCAAATGATTTTCAAGCTGGCATTCTGTTTTTCCCATTGCGGATTTCAGAATGGGCAGAGAATTGTTCCAGCTGACCAGAAAGTGGGTGCAAAAGTCATTCAACTTATGCCTGCCCTAAGTTACTGCAGGTCCTGGAGCATCTCCAACCATGGGAAAAGGAATAAATTACTAGCCAGTCTTGCATTTTCACTACACTGTGAATGTATTTGTCTTCCTACACAAATATCTGAATAGTTGCTGTAAAATGTAGCTGCAAAGACACCGAGCCTTCATTTTTGTGTTGCATTTAAAAACCTCTTGCTAATTGTGATGGTAAAAATGTAGCATACTGGCAATTTTGCAGCCAGATGCTTTTGAGGCAGCTACAAGCATGACTTTATGTTGCTACCGTAGCTGGAGTGGAAAAGAGAAAGAGAAAAAAAAAGGTGCCGGAACTCACACATGTCATACAGCCCACCTTGCCTACCCTACAAGGTTCCATCCAAAAACGGTGCTGGAATTCCGTTCTAGGCATTCTATGACAAAAAAAGCCCTGTCTAAACTTAAATACTTTGGCCACCTAATGAGAAGGAAGGACTCACTGGAGAAGAGCCTAATGCTGGGAAAGATTGAGGCCAATTAGAAGAAGGGGACGACAGAGAATGAGGTGGCTGGATTGAATCACTGAAGCAGTAGGCATGAGCTTAAATGAAGTCCAGAAGATGGAAGAGGACAGGAAGGCCTGGAGGAACATTGTCCATGGAGTCGCGATGGGTCGGACACGACTTCACAACTAACAACAAGAAAACCTAAAGCACCAGAAACAGAATGTTGGGAACTGCTGGGATAGGACAACCTCAAGAATTCTTTCAACCTTACTTCCTACAAAAAGGGGGAGAAGAAATACTGTACTTAGAAACACCATTAACCAGAAAACAAGGGAACCAGTTCTCCAAGCAAAAATCTGCTGCAATGTTTTACATGCCTTACCAAAGAAAAAGAAGGAACAGATAAAATCTTCGTGATCTGCAAAGAGAGCACTGGTTATCATAGCTACAGGTAATAGATGCCAGGATGTCATTCAGCTACACCTGGCGTATTCTCTGACCTAGAAAGATGAAGACTTCCCCACTTCCCTTCAAGAGCATCATGTATAGCTTCAGAATAAAAGACCTCTATAAGGACAGCTCCGATATAATATTGTACTGTATTTACAGAATCAAGCTGTTTTGTTGTGATACTCAACACTGGCATCCTTTGACAAAATATTGTTTAAAAGCAGATGGCAATTCAGAATCTGAAACCCTAGTTTGAAGTTGGGTTGGGAAACAATAGCTTGGCCTAACTATACATTGCTGTTATATATGCTCCAATAAATTTATTGGTCTATCCTGAAAGCCATTTGGCTGTAGATAGAAGAGCAGGCTAGATGTTGTTGCTTAGGAAGAAAGGAAAATCTTAAAGTTTAGCTCATCTCCTGGTGACTTGATGGACACATCCAAACAACAATTCAAAATGCTATATCTTTTGAGCTTCCCAGTCTAGCCTGCAGCTTTGATCTTCTGGGGTGGCCTCTCATCTAAGTAACTGCCAGCCCTGACTCTCTGACCTTCTAATCCAGAGAAGGTCAGCCAGACATTGCTGCCACTGCTGAGGTTTGCTGAGCACTGCTTCTTTATTATTTGGGGAAAGGGTGAGGGAAAGTGGAAGCCCTAAAAATATCCCTTAATTTTACTATGAATGCTTGACTCTTTTGGTGGAAGATAAGCAATAATTTTATATTGCCTGAAGTTAGGACATCTTCATAAAAACCATATGGCATACTGATGGGTGATTGGATTTGTGGGTTGGTGATGAGAAGAATCTGGTCTATTGAGAACCCCATTTTTCTCCTGGTGCTATTTACTTTGCGGGCCCATACTGCTAACATAATGTTGGTTCCTCTGATGTGACTCCATTGACTCCCTTTTCTGCTGTCTTCAAAGAAAGAATTCAGACAAGACTAAATGAAATTTGTCCCACAAGGTGGCAGCATCCAGCTGACCTTGCCAAGTCATCAAGGTCAGACTTGATAAGTAGTTAGATGACTGTCTAAAAGCCGCGCCCACCCCAACTCCGGCAGTGCGAAAAAGTTGCGATACGTCGCAACACGTCATGTAACGCGGTGAGTTTGACACCCGTGGACTAAAATGATTCTCTTAAATGGCTATCATTAAATCCCAGAGCAGCAGTAAAAAAAAAAAAAAGCCCATTGTGGAAAACATAATGGAAAACTAGTTTCATATTCTTGCCAAGAAAACAGCATTATTGTATCTATGTAATCATCCAAAGTCAAACTTAACTCAAGGAAGTATATGGTATAGGTCAGGAGTAGGCAACCTCGGCTTCTATGACTCATGGACTTCAACTCCCAGAATTCCTGAGTCAGCTATGCTGACTCAGGAATTCTGGGAGTTGAAGTCCCTGAGTCATAAAAGAGCCGAGGTTGCCTACCCCTGGTATAAGCTCTCCTGCTTGAGCAGGGGACCTCCAAAGTCTCTTCCAGCTCTATTCTATTCTGTCCTTATCTTTTAAATGAAATCTTAATTGATTTTGATGAACTGATCAATTTAATTAATTATTTCTAGGCAACAACCATGGAGGCAAAGGCACTATTAGTTTTTCAGGAGAGTGTTTTATTTTAAAATAATTCCTGTGGCAGGTCTAATTTGTTTTTTCTAATACTGGGTTAGAAAAACGATAGTAATTTTCATTTTTCATTTTAACGCATTCCAAAGCATTCCTTTACATCTTCCCAAATGTTTCATAGGCGGGTTTATTCTATTGGATTCTTAGTTGAAATAGCCACATTGTTATCTTTGGGGAAATTTATATTTTTAGCAATCTATGCATGTAAAATTCATTGGCGAGAGAAACAAATGGAAACCTATAAAACCTTGTTACCCATAACTCAAGCATATAATTTATAACATCAAGCTTAAACATTTAGCATGTTATAAAAATCTAAAGAACAAGTGTACTTTTAACCGTATTGGGACATCCAGGAAAGGGAAACAGGGAGGAAGGAAAATATACCCTGGATTATATCTTCTGTAACTGCTACCTTTGGATGTTCATCATTTGCGCTGTCAATTCTCGGATCTCAATTATTTTCTCCAGTTTTGCTTTGGTTTCTTTTTCAGCACTAAGAAAGAAGAAATAAAGACAGAAATTACCTGCAGAGTATGATTTGGGATTAGTGATATCAGAATTAAGAAAGATCTCAAGGTTTTAGGCCACTATGAAAAGCCAGACAATGGCTAAAGAGATATAAACTTCTTTCTGGTGTTATTCTATTTCTCTCCTTCCCCCAGTGCTTTCCTTCTTGTCTCTATTCATATATTGGTTGGGAATTTGGCTGAAGAATATGTAGGATGTAATGATTCTCAATCAAGCTGATTCGACTGATTGTATTAAATGACACAACAGTGGGGTGATCCCCTTTTTCATAATCAACTGTGTAGGGATCATATAGCGATAGCACTTAGACTCATATAACACTCCATAGTGCTTTACTGCAGCTTTCATCTACCTGTGAATTTCTTTTGGACTTTTTGATTTCTGTCTGGTAAACACTTTCTTTAAAGTGTGGGGTGGACTGCCTACATGTTATTTAGAGAACCAGTGCTCTTTTTGTAAAAAAAAAAAAAGATGCCGGAACTCACACGTCATACAGCCCGCCTTGCCTACCCTACAAGGTTCCATCCCAAAAAGTTGCCGGAACTCCGTTCTGGGCGTTCTATCACAAAAAAAGCCCTGTAGAGAACAGATAAGGTAGTGTTCCTAATCTATCAACATAGATTCAATTCTAGAACTTCACCATGAGCTTTAAAAAAAAAAAATAATGGAAAAAGAGTTCTGCTGGTCTGGGTGGGAAGTGGAAGACATCCCTGTAAAGGATCCTAACTAGCTGTAGGAAGCTTAACTGCTTGGTTATCTAGCAGTTTTGTAACTCTTTAAAAATATCAGTGGGCGGGTTTTCTTGTGTTTGTTATATAAGGAGAAAGTATAGTTTAGACATAATTATACTCATGAATTATTTGGCATCTGAATCCCAGTAGAAAAGATTTTACAAATAAATCAAGTCTCTGTTATGAATTCCATGAAGAATTGCATTAAGTCTGAATGGGTTTCTTAAAGCAGCAGTATTTTTTCCCCCAGGGCTAGGCAGAAGTTTGAGTAGTCTTTGAGTTCTTTAAGGGATAGCTGAGAGATGCTGCACTTGGTGAGATCTGAAGCACAAAGGTCTACAGGAGGGTCAAGATGAATAACTCTGGGCTATGATATAAAACCCCTGACATGCATACCCGTATTAGACACTGGGATGTAATAATGCAAGGGTGGGGTTTGTCTGATGAGATCACTCTGTGTTTCCTTTTTTGACACAATCTTGGTTTGCTACAGGGATATATAGTGTGAAGCATTTCTGAATCATTGTCAAAGCATGTGAAACTCTAGCAGGTTAACTACCCTGACATCAACTGGGAGACAAACTCTGCACCAAGCGGAAGATCAAACAGATTCCTGACAAACATAGCAGACAACTTTGTCTCCCAAAAAGTAGAGAAGGGAACTAGGGGATTAGCCATTTTGGATCTAATTCTCACTATCAGAGATGAAATGATAGAAGGTGTTGAAGCCATAGGAACCTTGGGAGGAAGTGATCATGCAATATTGGAATTCAACATTATGGAAGCACAAGCAATAGAACACAGTCAAACTAGAGTCTTGGACTTCAAGAGAGCTAATTTCAATAAACTTAGAGAGGGTTTGGGAAGGATTCCATGGATGAGAATCTTCCAGGGGAAAACAACTCAAGAGGCTTAGGAAATTTTGAAAAGTGAGATAATAAAGGCCCAGTCTAGCACAATACCAACAAAGAGGAAAAATAACAGCTCTCAAAAGAAACCAGCATGGCTGCATAAAGAACTCTCTGATCAATTGAAAGATAAAAAGGACAAGTATAGAAAGTGGAAAGAGAGACACATAACTAAGTCAGAATATCAGCAAATAGCCTGATCCTGCAAAGATGAAGTGAGGAAAGCTAAGGCTCAAAATGAACTAAGGCTTGCGACCAAAGTAAAAAACAAAAACAAAAAAGCTTCTTTCAACATGTAAAAAACAAGAAAAAAGTGAAGGAAACGATTGGTCCATTAGTGGGTGAAAGTGGCAAGAAGGTGACAAGCAACAGGGAGAAAGCAGAACTATTTAACTCGTTTTTCACATTTGTCTTTACACAAAGGGAAAAAACAGACCAACCTATCAAAAATAGTGCCATAAAAAACAAAATAGAAATACAAGTTAAGATAGGCAAGAAAATGGTAAGTGAGCACCTGTCCAGCCTAGACGAGTTTAAATCACCAGGACCAGATGGATTACACCCCAGGGTTCTCAAGGAACTGGCAGATGTGATCTCAGAACCACTGAATAATATTTTTCAAAGATCCTGGAGGACTGGGGAATTACCAGAGTACTGGAAAAGAGCCGATGTACTTCCCATCTTCAAAAAAGGGAAAAAAAGGACCCAGGAAATTACAGACCTATCAGCCTGACCTCAATACCTGGGAAGATTCTGGAAAAGATAATCACACAATGAATCAGCAAACACCTAGAGGCAAACAAAGTCATTACTAAAAGCCAACACGGGTTTGTCAAAAACAGATCATGCCAGACAAATCTTATTGCATTCTTTGACCAAGTGACAAAATTAGTGGACCAGAGGAATGCTGTGGATATAATTTACTTGGACTTCAGTAAGGCATTTGACAAAGTAGATCACAATCTACTATTTGATAAGATAGAAAAATGCGGGTTAGACAGCATCACCACCAGATGGATCCATAGCTGGTTGACCGGCTGTACTCAGCATGTGGTCCTCAATGGAACCACATCTACATGAAGGGAAGTGTGTAGTGGGGTGCCCCAGGGCTCTGTTCTGGGCCCAGTGCTCTTCAATATCTTCATCAAAGATCTGGACGAGGGGATAGATGGAGAACTCATCAAATTTGCAGACAACACCAAGCTGGCAGGAATAGCCAACACTCCAGAAGACAGGCTTAAGATATAGGAGGATCTGGACAGACTTGAACACTGGGCGCTATCTAACAAAATGAAATTCAATGGTGAAAAAAGTAAGGTTCTACATTTAGGCAAGAAAAACCAATTGTACAGGTATGGTATAGGGGGTACTTTGCTCAATAGTAGTAACTGTGAGAGGGACCTCGGAGTCCTAGTGGACAATTACTTAAATATGAGCCAGCAGTGTGCTGCAGCTGCCAAAAAAGCCAACACAGTGCTAGGCTGCATTAACAGAGGGATAGAATCAAGATCACGTGAAGTATTAATACCACTTTACAATGCCTTGGTAAGGCCACACTTGGAATACTGCATCCAGTTTGGGTCACGACAATGTAAAAAAGATGTTGAGACTCTAGAAAGAGTACAGAGAAGAGCAACAAAGATGATTAGAGGACTGGAGGCTAAAGCATATAAGGAATGGTTGCTGGACTTGGGTATGTCTAGTTTAATGAAGAGAAGGACGAGGGGGGATATGACAGCAGTGTTCCAATATCTCAGGGGCTGCCACAAAGAAGAGGGAGTCAAGCTATTATCCAAGGCACCTGAAGGCAGGACAAGAAGCAACGGGTGGAAACTAAGCAAGGAGAGAAGCAACCTTGAACTAAGGAGAAACTTCCTGACAGTTAAAACAATTAATGAGTGGAACAACCTGCCTCCAGAAGCAGTAAATGCTCCAACACTGGAAGTTTTAAAGAAGAAACTGGACAGCCATTTGTCCGAAATGGTGTAGGGTTACCTGCCTCAGCAGGGAGTTGGACTTGATGACCTCCAAGGTCCCTTCCAACTTTATTATTATTATTAAAGATTCATCTCCAATGAAAGCATTAGAGGCAGAATACTCAAGAGGTATGATTTGACTGCCTATAGCATGCTGAAGTTGTACAGACCTGTCTCTCTCCCCCTCTCTCCTCTCTGCCTGCCTCTCTCTCTCTCTCCCTCCCTCCCTCCCTCCCTCCCTCTCTCTCTCTCTCTCTCTCCAGAAACTGCCATGTTTTGTTGAAACTAGAAAATCAGGATGTCATTACTGAAATAATTTGTTCTCCAGTCTGAAGATAGAAGGTGAGCATCACTTAAGCTACTTCTTTAGTTCACCAAGCATCTCTGACCATCCCTTTCAGACCAGTTATGAAAATGATGTGTCAGATATTTTATCCTTTGTCTGCCTGTGTCTGCCTATGATTATATTTTCTTAAAGATTTTAATTCTACAAAAACTATAGGGGGAAAAAACCAAGCCAACATTGCAATACTTCCCCTTCTGACCTCATGCCCACCATGCCCTCTGTAGCCCTGGGAGATTTCCCTCCCAAAAAATATCAAGTGCCCTTTTTTTCAATATGATTGCATAAATGTCTGTAGGAAGCTACTGCAACCCTTGGTGTCTGATTCCGTGTCTCCTACTGAAAATTGTAGGACCTCCCCAGGACTTGAGATTTCTATGAACGCTACAGCATCGATCCTGTAGTTGAGTGTTACATTTTCAGGGCTTGGACAGAGTTTCTGTCATTCTCTTTCAGGAACTCATCAAACATGGCGGCGTCCTTTTCCAAGTCTTCCTCAGCTTTTTCCAGCTTGGCTTCTTCTTCCACAGCCAGATTTTCCAGTTTCTGAATTTCATCTTTTTTCACAGTAACAGCATACTGAAATGTAAAAGCCAAAAGTGATTGAGAAAGGGAGGCCCAAAAATGTCTCTTTTCAGTTCATGGACTTCAAGTGCTATTACCCCCCAAACTGACCAATTATTTCTATCTTTTTCTTTTTTAACAGATATGTTGTTAAAGATAGATAACAGTCAACAGACACTTACGGGAGATAGGTGGTACAGAAATTTAATAAATAAAGAGCTATGTTAAAATGTATCTGTATCTGTGTTTCTCTAAACAGCTATACAATTTAGGCAGACAAAGCACACCTATTCCTAGACATGGGATAATATGCTATGGCTATAAATGGGATGTGATCATGTATTTCCCCACCAGAACTTATATAAGCAGAGAAGCCCGTGGCATAAGTCATCTAGCATCTTCCACCAGGCAATTTACTGAAATGATTCCTCTTGTTAAAAGCCACTGTCGAGTTGCAACACCATTTACTGCTGTATTTGTAATCAGTCCTTCCTTTTTCAAAGCATTCAGAATCAGACTGGTGCGGGTACCTCCCATTTTATCTTCACAATAATTTGGTTGGGAGGAATAGTCTCCCCAAGGCCCTTGATGACTTTGATGACCAAAAAAGTCAACTTGATGACCAAAAAAGACAACCCCCCCCCCAGTTGTCCCTAATTCAGATCCCAGGCTTCTCTTCACTATCTCAAACTGATGTACAGGCAACACAGCTAGAACAAAATGAAATACCTGCAGCAAGAACATCTGCCGTTTCTGATTGATGTAATCATGCATGGTTTCTCTCTCTACAACCTGGTCTGGGGGGAAAAAGAAAAGAAAAGAAGGAAGGAAGGAGGGAAGGAAGGAAGGAAAAAAGGGGCAGTCGTGCAAGTCACAAAACCCAAATGCAGCATGCCACAGTGAAGTGAAAGGGCAATGTTTTTAGGAGAGCTTCCAAAAAAATCTCTTTTCATTGACTGAGTTGGTTGAGAGACACTTACAGCCAACAATTTTATCAGTTCCATAATTTAGAAACTGGCTATTTGATTATTAAAAGTGTTCTGCTTCTATGTGAAATTGCTCTTCATCTCTTCTACTCATCATTTAATCTTATTTTCTGAGCACTTGTAAATAACAGTTGATCTTTTATCAGGGATTTCTTAGATGTGCAGCTGACTAGTGTACATTACAGCAGCAAAATACCATTTCTGGAGATGGCAGGCATTTGTAGAATTTGGTGCATTTAGAAACTCTTTGATATGATCCCTTGGCATATGAAAAGAGCCCTTCAGAAACTTTCAAACTCTGGTGAATCTCATCTATATTATACAGCATTTTAGAAACATTTTGAAGACGCTTAAGAAAATGTTATTCTTCTTATACTCCAACTTATGGTCAAGATGTAAAGTGAATTTTAAGTTGATCCTATAAAAATAGAATCTGTACTTTCCCCTCTATGGTAAGCTCTTTCCTGAAATTATTTGCATAGATGTTTCCTTAATGACTTGTTTTAAAAAAATCCCAACCAACAAATGAAATATTATAGAAAGATTAATAAGCAGAGGCCTGATACTTTGGCTATTTCCCTATTCAAAATAATCCTTCCTTCCCAACTATTTTTATTTTAAAAGCGTGGAACAGATAACTCCAAATTTTATTGTTGAGCAATAATGCTAAGAAAAGACAGGAAGAGAATAATGTAAGTCTGCCCCCTCACCTAGATCGGATCTTTGGGGAACCATATCTAAAAGTATAACTTCAGTCTGAATGTGAAAAATGAGAATCCGAAGCTGGAAGCTTCTGCAGTGTATGTTCTGATTCCAAGTAATTATCCTGCCTCATAGCATCCTACGATCTGAATGCTTTCCTCAGCTACCTTTAGTAATTGCTATCTTCCAGGAGAGGCTTTCTCGGAGAGCTTTGAGTCGTTCGGCTTCTGCTGCTAACTCCTTGTCCTCAGCTTCTTCTTCCATTTCGATCGCTTTCTTGAATCCTGACTGCTTGGCACTCTGCAGAGTGGAGCAAGTCATCTTCTCATGGACTTTCAGAGTCTTCCGTCGCTCTCGCTCCTAGAGGTAAAGGAAGAGCGAGTTGATTAAATGCTCCATTGGTTATTGGAGGCTTTATAAGATGGCTGCCCCAGAAAATGTATACTACTACTACTACTACTACTACTACTAATAATAATAATAATAATAATGTTGGAAGGGACCTTGGAGGTCATCTAGTCCAACCCCCTGCTCAGGCAGGAAACCCTTCCAGCATAAAGGATTGTATAAGAAAATGCAGTTGCCCAGGAGGTCAAAATGGAACTGTATTTTAAAAGAATGGGTCTCCCAATTATGAAATACATGGCCAGTCATGAGAAAAGCCCTTGCAGATGCCCAGGAGGCTGACAACAAACACAGAGAACCCAAACCATTCAATATTGGGGATTGTGTCTATCTCTCCACCCACTACCTACAGTCTCTAAAACCTTCGAAGAAATTAGGACCCACGTTTGTGGGGCCCTTTCTCATCAAACATATTATAAACCCTGTGATTGCAGAACTGGAATTGCCAAATCCCTTAGTTGGGTCCATCCTGTGTTCCGTTATAGTTTATTAAAACCTGAGGTTATTTCTCCCCTTAGGCCAAGCCTTCAAAGCCTCCCGAGCCAATAATGGTTGAGCGGGTGCAACATTTTGAAGGTGGAGATATCTTAGGCTCCTGCAGGCTTAGGGGAGAACTCTAATATTTAGTAGCGTGGAAGGATTTTCCCAAAGCCCAAAATGCGTAGGTAAATCATTGCCATGTTAGAGCTCCCAGACTTGTAAAGCATTTTCATAATCAATACTATGATAAACCTAAATAATGTTTCCCTTAACTTCCCAATTTTCTTTCTCTCCCTGTTTATTATGTTTCCTTCTGCAGGACTGATGTCATTTTTTTCAGAGGGCAGCATGTCAGATCCACCATGCTGGTGTCTTGTCAGTCAGTTGGAGAGTAGGGAGGAAGGTTGCTGACATTTTTTGCATGCTTTCACTTTTGCTATAACTGCTTGGGAATTAGGGAGGGGGATTATTTTTAGAGATGAAGCAGACTCCTTCCCAGCTGGTTCCAGCCTGGTTCCAAGGCCATCATACCCTGAGGGTGACCTGTTATCTACCCTGCACCTCAGTGTTCTCAAAACAATCCTGCAACATCACACTGGATGCTGATAGACTGGTTAGGGCAGGGGTTGGGCTTGAGGAAGTGAAAAAATTGCTTTGTGTGGGACCTTCAGATTCAGCCTGACTTTTCTGTAAAAGTAAAAGTTCTTTTGATTAACCTCAATGGAGTCAAGAGTTTCACTTTCCTGAGGGACCAGCTGGGGCAGGTCCTTACATTTTGAGCTAGGTTATTCATTCCATGAGATCAGTTATACATGAAATATACAGAATACAGAAAAACAGAGTTGGAAGGGACCTTGGAGAGCTTCTAGTCCAACCTCCTATTCAAGGAGGAAACCCTATGCCATACCACACACCTGAGGTATAGTATCCTTCTCTCAGTACTTACTATAAAATTAGCTTTGGTGCTACTATTCCACATTTGTTTAGTCTATAGTAGTGCCGAGCAAGACTACGCAAGGAAAGCAAAGATCATGCTTCCTTAATCCGCTGCCCCCCAGTTGGATTGAGTTCCAGTTAACATAACCTCCAGCTATCATAGCCAGTCATTTTCACTGGATGATGCTGGATTCCCATGTTACGAGAGAGATGAGTCTCTCTATCCATGCTGTCTGAACACGCAATCCTCTCCTATCATCTGTACTCTTTTTTTTAAAAAAATAAGCTCTCCCCACTTCAGCTTAGGTTTCACTTTTGACTCTTTTCCAGAACCATTGGTGTACCTTATTTAACACAGAGTTTTTCTAAAAGTCTCAGAGATTCTCCTTAATCCATACAAAATAATATTGCATGAGTAATGACATTATTTCTGCTATGACATCTCTTAATTCAATGAGACAGTACACCAGTTCAGTGGGAAGAGGGCACATCACATAGTCGGCATTCTGATTGGCCACAGGTGGGAAGAATTTCTTTCAGAAACATCCTGTATTTTCTACATACCATCCTGGCCTTTTCTTTCTGCTTATCTCGCAGCAAAAAAATATCAATATCTGCAGGGATTTTGAATGGGTTTTGTTCCAAGAGCAGGCCTCTGTCTTGAGGAGGAGCTGCAAAAAAAAAAAAAAAAAGATAAAAAAAAATTAGGAAAGCAATAGCAGAGCAGCATTATGTCTTCCTAATATAATGATGAAATTAATAAAAATAACCAAAATGTGTCCAACTGGGCAAAGAAGAATGAAAGAAAGTTGGTGAACTTCATCACAAATGAATGACCATTTGAATAAATATAATTGACTGATAATTCCATGGCCAACACATTGCAGGACAGTTCAACAAATGTAAAAGTTAAATTAATTTCGACGGAACCTGGCCAATAATAATAACTAAAGTCAATCCAGAAATACAAGAGTTACACTACTTTCAATGAAATATGGTTACCAATAATAAAAGTAACTGATTGAAATGATTAATTAAGCATTGAATTGTCCCACAGCAAGTTGTCTTACAGCAAGTTATCCCATTTTGTGTTAAAAGACCTTTTGGAAACCTTGCAATATATCATACTAGAAAAGAGATTTGGACACAGTACTGCTGTGTTCACATTTAAATGGTATCTCAAGCATTTAGTCCAAATCATTTCCAAATTATGAATAGCTCTATACGTAGCCTTATTTAAAATCAAGACAATTTATTATTTGCCACATGATAAACATTGGTTTTGAAAACAAATGTTTCTTTTTATCCCCTCTTCTTTTCTTTGTTCTTCACTGTGACCTCAAGATGCTCTGAAAAGAATTTCAAAGGTATGGCGAGGATTGCAAAGGGAAGGTTTTTATGTTCATGAAAACATATCATTGGATTTCAGATCCAAGAGAACATTAAAGAACATTGGTTCTACATTGTTTGAAAGATGCTCTGATCCTGAAACATCCTATTGTCAAGCAAGTTTAGAAACAATAATGCAAGAATGGTAACTGATCTGCTCAAAGTTGCTAAAATGGGACTGGCTTTCTCTGTTGTGCGGCAATTCTGAAAATTGATCTATTGTGTTAAAATTGCTCAGTGATCTGCTGATGATTGTTTGCATAATAGGCTTTGGGAGCTGACAATTAAAAAGAGAGACTTACTTGACTTGGTACCTTGTCCAGAACTAGACTTAGCAGAGGATATTGTAAACACATCTCCAGTTTGCTGAGATAACATTCGTGTCTCTGAACCAATAAAGAACAAATTTCACTTAGTTATCCAGAAATAAGTTATGTTATAGGGAAAGTTGCTAGGACATAAGTGTCAGCATCACAGGACTTATCATACTTCAATGTTTGAAGACTGAAGTTCAATCTGTATGGGGTACTTTGTGGGTGTGCCCTAGTAAGACCACACCTGGAATACTGCAGCCAATTTTGGTCACCATATCACAAAAAAGATGTTGAGAGTTTGGAAAAAATTCAGAGAATGATGATCAAAGGCCTGGAGACTAAAACATACAAAGAACGGCTGTGGGACTTGGGTTTGGCTAAAGAAAAGAATAGGGGAGACATGATAATATTATTCCAGTATCTGAGGGGCTGCCACAAGGAAGAGGGGTCACGTTGTTCACCAGAGCACCAGAAGGAAGAACGAGAAACAATGGTTGGAAAGTGATCAAAGAGAGAAGCAACCTGGAATTAAGGAGAAACTTCCTAACAGTGAGGACAATCAACCAGTGGAACAGCTTACCCCCAGAAATCATGGGCGCTCCATCACTGGAGATTTTTAAGAAGGGACTAGACAATCACCTGTCTGAGATGGTATAGGTTCTCCTGCTTGAGCAGGGGGCTGGAATAGAAGACCTCCAAGGTCCTTTCCAGCTCTATTCTATTCATAGGGAACAGAGTCACATTCATTAATAACATCCCCTTCCAACAGACTTAAGATTAAGAAAAAATAATCTTCCTGACAGTAGAACTATAGGGGCCTCTCTCCCCCCCCCACAGCTATATGAACATAAATTCTCAATAAACAACCTGGTACCTCTTAGCATCACCATGTCAACAGATACCTTTTTTGCTGACCTGCAAGAAATGTTCACTTCAACCTAGAAGACGTTTATGCTCCAGGTATTAAACTCCAGAGAAACTAAGCATCAGTGAAGTTGTCTGTTTCAGAAGGAACAACCTACATGTATAATAAGGATAGGTCTGTATTCTGCTTCAGGAGCTGCTCACACCCTAACGTGAATTTTAAAACTGTGAAAGGAAGGAAGCATTAAATTCTAGGAAATAAAACAAAATGGTCTTACTGTAAATTTCTTCAGAGTCCACTGAGCCTGTAGATGCATTTGAAGGGGCAAACGAGATTCCAGACATCCTGAGGATGTTCTAGTTTAACAAGAATGCTGACGAATTCCCACCTGGTGGACAGATGTTTCAAGATGCAACACTGAATCTTGGCCTATGAAGAAATGTGAATAAAGAAACCTTTGTTAAATGTGATTTTATTCATTGATCGTCTAAACCTGATATAGAACGATATAGAAACTAATTTATAACTGCTAAACATTTGGGCCAGAAACTGAAATGGTAATGAAAAAGATTTTGAAGAACCCTCCTAATAACTGAAATTGAGACTGCGTCAAACAGTCGCAAAGGATGGAGGCTTCGATTCACTGGGCATACATTTTGTTCTTGAGAAAAGGGTTAGGTTGAATGATTTGTAATTCCCCTTCCAACATTAAAATTCTACAATTTCATGACATGTAGAAGAAAGGAATTTTGCAGATGCAGTTTTTTCCACCATAGAAAAAAACCTGAATTACTCCCAACCTTTGTATCACTATTGCCATATCCCAGGGGTAGGCAACTTTGGCTCTTTTATGACTCGTGGACTTCAACTCCCAGAATTCCTGAGCCAGTTGCCTACCCCTGCCATATCCTATTAAATCAAAAGGATGACACGTTGTTTATTTTCATTTTTAAGCAAAAACAAAACAAAAAAGGGAAACATACACATAAAATATTCATGGAGTCAAATAAAATGCTGCTAATCTGAACAAAAAAAAGATCTGTAGAAATCATCATCACCATAATTTTAAATAGCCTGCTTGCTTTAAAGGGGTCTGGAAACCTGCAGCTGGAAATTGTTTCCCAATTGTTAACACTGATTCAGCCATGAGGTATAACAGAGGGAAGGATCACTATAACATTAATGGCTGTCAATTCTGTGAGGTGCTTTCTCAGTGTTACATCGGTAGGTAACTTTGAAGCAGTTGTTTTCAAGAAAACTGTCTTACCACATATACACACTCATTTCAGTTCTAATAAATTAACCTGATGTACTTAAAGTACATCAATGGATGAGGGGTGTGTGATGACTCAGCTTAGCTGGAAAGCTGGCAGCCCATGTTTGAGACCTGGGTAGATTTCCCATTCGAAAGCATGCAAACATGAGTAGATAAATAGTTACCATTTCGGTGGAAATGTGCATATAGCCATGATGGCCACATGACCATGGAAAATGTCTTCAGACAATGTTGTCTCCCTCAGCCAAGTAGCAGAGGTGAGCCCAGGACAGAATAGGGAAGCCTTTACCTTTTTTCTGTAGAGATAGTAGTCCTTGACCAACCTTATCTCAGCCGAGAAGATAAACAGGATTGGGCTTGTCTGATACTTGGAAAAGAAATCACCAGGGAAATCTAGGCTAGACTGAGAAGCTGAGAAAAACAATCCTGCAAGAAAAAGATGGAAAACAATTCCATGCTGATGCCTAGAAAATTGCATGGCTATGACCATGAAGTCACCAATAGTCAAGCTTGATTCAAAGGCCTGAATTTGGTATTAAGTATTTAGAAAACTCCTCTCTGCTTAGTAAAATGGTTCTTGAAGCCCTAAAGCCTCAGTAGTGTATTTACGCACCCAAAAGTAGCAAGTCTCATATTTCAGAATTATATAAACTACAGGTAATCCTTGACTTACAACCATTCATTTAGCAACCATTCAAAGTTACACCTGCATTGAAAACAGTGACTTATGACCGGTCCTTACACTAATGACTACTGCAGCATGGTCATGTGATCAAAAACTGGGCACTTGGCAACAAGTGTGTATTTACTTGTTAGCTCTGGTGATGCAGTGGTTAAAGGACAGTGTTGTTGGCAAGCTCTGCCCACAGCCTGGAGTTCGACCCTGATGGACCTCAAGGTTGACTCAGCCTTCCATCCTTCCAAGGTCGGTAAAATGAGGACCCAGATTGTTGGGGACAAGAAGCAAATAATGCTTACAGTATATCGTAAATCAGCAGAGAGGGCTATAAAATGCTATGGGGCTGTATATAAGCCTAAAGGCTATTGCTATTGCTATTCTGGTTGCAGTGTCCTGGGATTACGTGATCACCATTTGCAACCTTCCCAAAGGGGCTTCCAACAAGTAAAGTCAATGGGATAAGCCAGATTTGCTTAACGGCCAGCTGGCTCACTTAACAACTGCAGTGATTCACTTAATAATCATGGCAACAAAAGATCATAAAAATCAGGCATGACTCATTAAGCAACTGCCTTCCTCAACAATGGAAATTCTGGCCCCAGTTGTGGCTGTATGTCAAGAACTACTTGCATTTTACCCAAGAGAGCAAAAAGGTTCAAAGCATCTCATCATCATGTCAGATAAGGAAGCAAGCTGACAGCTGCCTTTGAAGGGGAGTGAGGAGGAAACCACACTAATTCCATCTTCAGTTCCATTTGAAGCTGTAGACCAGGGGTCTTCAAACTTGGCCCTTTTATGACTTGTGGACTTCACCTCCCAGAATTCCTCAGCCAGGCACGCGTGCCTGGCTGAGGAATTCTGGGAGTTGAAGTCCACAAGTCATAAAAGGGCCAAGTTTGAAGACCCCTGCTATAGACTGAAAAAACTTTTTGACTTGAAGCCTGTCATCATGCAAGAGCTGAGACAGGATTACTGTTTAACAGCCTGTTTAATATTATACTGCTGATGTTCAAATACAGGCTCAGGCTGCCATCCTTTCTCTCTCCCAGAAAGGTTACATACAGGAAACCAAAGTACAAAAAAGTGCTTGCGTAAATATATTGCACTTGAAAGCACAAATATATAAATCAAATGGGGAGAAGGGGAGAGAGAGGCGAATGTAGTAAAAGTAGTTTAAAACCTCCTGATAGCAGTATAAGATGAATTACCACAGATGTAAATATATTGCTGGGTAATCTCACTCCAGAGACTTAGATTTTTAATTTCAGTATTGAGTTTTTGTTTTGTTTTTTTTCCTGTAGATTTTCCCTGCTTTTAGACAACCCAAGCACAACAGCCTTTTTTTTTTTTCATCAACGCAACGCTGGAAATTCAAGAAAGCAGATCGCGCTCACCCTGAATTCTCTTCCGATTGTGTGTGTGTGGGGGGGAAGGATGACTCTGTACAGAAGAAAAAAGCACAATTTCCCGGTCCCGCGTTTCTCTTTTTAATTGCTTCTGCGCGGTAAACATCCGTCCCGGAGGTTTTGCGAGTCCGTTTGGCCAATTTAACTCAAGAACCGCAGCGCTTTCGGACAAGAGGCAGGCTCCAGCATTCTCGACATTCCGCCTCTTCCATTGTTCTCCGTTCTTGTTTACGTTGCCGAGGAAACCATTTTCTCCTGTTGCCAGGAGCTGCTGACGTCATAATGAAAAGAAGCGCTGGTGGATGCAACGTGGACGTAGAGTTCGCAGCGAGCTGGAATCGAGCGCGTTACGTCAAGTTCTCACAATCTGGAAACTAAATCTGGAAACTAAGTGAAACAAGGTACAGTAGTAACGAAAGAATTCACGATCAGTCCAGTGGAGAATATCGTCAAAAGCAAGACACTTTTTATATTCTTAATTACACGAAACGTTAATTGCTGCAGGAGATACAGAAGGCCAGCAGTTTGGATAGTGTTGTCTAGTGGGAAATCATTTGAAACTTCCTATAACAGAGGTCAGTGTCCAGTGAAGGGGGATCATTTTGAGGCACAAGACAGGCTGTCATTCAGCAAAACCCATCCAAATTAATCAGGCCTTACTTACCACATTTTGAAGTAAATGAAGGGCTGCATTTCCAATCTAAAGAGTGCCCATCACAACAATATCCCAAAGATGCTTTTTCACGAGGCAACTGGATTTTCTTGTTTTTCTTTGAAGATGTTTTGCTTCTTATCCAAGAAGCTGTCTGCAAGGAGTATAAATCTTTCCATTCCCCAACCATCCAGTCAGAGCTGAAGAAGCTTCTTGGATGAGAAGCAAAATGTCTTCAAAGAAAAACAAGAAAGTCCAGTTGCCTCGTGAAAAAGCACCTTTGGGACAACCATGATCTGGATGACTGAGAATCTCCATATACATCACAACAATACTAATCCCATAAGGAGGGACACCTAAATTCAGAATCTAACATTACTTTGCTTGCCATTATGTCCTTAATAGTTCTTTAATCTGCAGCCATCAGCAGAGTTGGAATAGTGCTGAGCACCATCTGATAGAAAGCATGTGTTGGTAATACAGATAGTCCTCAACGTACGACCGCAATTGAGCCCTAAATTTCTGTTGTTAAGTGTGACATTTGTTAAGTGAGTTTTGCCCCATTTTACGACCTTGCTTGCCACATATAAACTGCAGTTTATAAAGTTGTTAAGTGAATCTGGCTTCCCCATTGACTTTGCTTGTCAGAAGGTCACAAAAGGTCATCACATGACCCTGGGTTTTAGCAATGGTCATAAATATGAAGCAGTTGCCAAGCTTCTGAATTTGGATCACACGATCATGGGGATGCAGCAAAGGTTGTGACTATGAAAAACAGCCCTAAGTCACATTTTTTAGTGCTGCTGTAACTTTGAATAGTCACTAAATGAACTGTTGTAAGTTGAGGACTACCTGTATTTATTAGATGATTTATTTCAACATTGAGATTAGGTGTTATTTATAATAGTTGATTATGCTTATTCTCTTATGCACACACACAGACACATTTATTTATGTGTCCAAAACCACTTCCAGTGTTGGAATCAATAAGAAACACTTAATGAAGCAAAGCAAGAAAGAGTGATAGTGTCAGAGGAAAAAAGTAAACAGTAACATGCCAAACATTTGTTTGGCTGGAGAAAACCCCACAGCGTTCATCAAGAAGAAATGAATCGATTCTTCCAGGTGTATGCTTTTTGTCATAAATTAGAATTTCCAGAGCAGAAGTTCAAATTATATATATATATATATATATGTGTGTGTGTGTGTGTGTGTGTGTGTGTGTGTAGGAGACACAGATGTTGAACATGGTGTAAGCGTCACTTTTCCCGTTCCATAACTTAAGAAAAAAAGAGTCTGCCTTTTGCTATATAGTTAAATGAAATTCATTTGACAGATGGGAATACAGTCACTAGTTCATACAATAAACCTAATTACAGGCAATATGCACTTATAAGGAATGACAACAAAATACCAGTAACTTTAACAAACATAACTGCTGAATAGGGAACTCTGGGAGTTGAATTCTACACTTCTTAAAGTTGCCAAGATTGAGAAACACTGCTCTAATAGCAGAGCAAAAATAATATTAGTATATAATTTCTATACTTTTGATATATTATGCAGAGCAGGAGAAATGAATGTGATGACCTAGAAGTACATAACTGAAGGAAACCTACCAGGAAGACAGGTATGAAGGTGAGCAGGTAACTATTAGAGTTGCCAGGCCTCTTGATCTCCCTATATCATGCCGGAGATTTGGACTTGATGAAATGCAATGTGCCCCAGCTGTTTCTTCCACTTGATAATGACTTGGTTAGTTGCTATCTCAGATGAACTTTGGATATCCTTTCACCTTAAATGCAATGCAATGCTGTTGGATCAGACCACCCCCCATACTGTGCTAATAAAGGATGTATCTTAATTAGGCAGTCATTTGGTCTGTCTAGGTAAGGGTGCAGAGCTCCCTTTCTTACTTAGCCTAGAGCTGTTAGGTTAATTTTCCACAGTATAATTAAACAGAATTCATTTGACAGAAGCTAATAGGTTCATCAGCTCACATGACAGACCTAATTACAAGCTATGTACTACATTTATGAGGAATGCAGGTGCCTTTGGCAGGGCTGGTCCATTTCCCATCTGTCTTCCTAAGGGTAGTGCTTGTTATGTCCTGCCAAAGGCTAAATGGGAAGGTGCCCTATTCTTTGCAAGGATCTTTAATCTTGCTCACAAGCCATGAAAAACAGATTTTCCGTCTTCCGTTTAGGATATTTTTTAAAAATGAACAACCTGTTTACACAAACAAAAGTGAACCAACTTGATCATCCCTGTAATTATTCACACACATAAAGTCATTAAAAATATAAAATTCAGTATTGCACATGAATGCAAGTCTTGCCCCTAGCCCTTAATAATTTTTGATCTATTTGATCTCTCGGTTTTGGGAGAAAGCAAGTCAACCATTTAACTTTATCATTATTCCAAATTGACATTTCTTCACAGGTCAGTCTAACTGATCAACAGCATAGCAATGTATCCCATGTGGTTAATCCTGCCTTATTTTGCATCTACAGCTGCAGTATTAGACATAGTTGCATTAATGTTACAATTTTATACAGATATGAGTGCACATTCTACATATGTGCCTGATTGCAAAGAACTTAGTAGATGTAAGATGGCAATCTGAAAAGGAACTGTAGGGATATTTGACTGATTAGAATCCTTGCCTATGATTAGAATCTTAGACACAGCACTGAATTCACTGAATTAGCTATTATGCAGTGTAAAGCAATACGCAAGAAAATGGCCATTTCATAAAATCAAGAAAATCAGCTGTGATTATGAGAGATTTTATTGTGCCTGTGAAAAGCTCAGAAAAATATTACTCTGTCATTTTTGCCCTGGCATTTGATCTTCCAGATTTTAGGTCAAAACCCATACATGGTTGGTTTGCATTGTTTTCATTCTATATCCTTAAAATGTCAGCAGCAGTGTGATGCAACAAGGGCTCCTCATTGCAACTGTTTTGTTATGAAAACATCTAGTAATGATTTCAGAGAAATTTTCCACTCTTAAGACATGCATTACCCAGATGTACCATGGGGTGTCATTCCACACTGGGATTTATTTTCTTTCGAGGACCAAAACAGATAAAACATTTCTTAACCCTTGTTTTTTTCCTTGTGTGCATGCACACAGCAGAATTTATGGCCAGTATTCTTAGATACGTTTTCAATTATGCATGTCCAAGTGAAAGTAAGAAGCTGTTTTACAGCTGGTAATTTCCTCTACTTCCTGCTCTGTTGCTTTTACAGAAACCTCCCAAGTTTTCTCTCTCTTACTACTCTAAATTCTCTCTGACCAGAATCCAACTCAAAGGATGCTCCCACCAGTGGTCCTAGTGGTTAATTTTGGTTGCTTCCCTCTTCCCTTTGCAGCTTATGTCTTCCTAAAATATAGTTCAAGGGTAATAAGGCCCTGCTAGATTAATCATGATGTAGGGAAGAAGGAAGAAATGTTAAAAATGGCTTCTTTCTTGTGCTAGTGTGATCTGATAAAAAACAGAAACCGTTCTTCTGTTAACAAATGGAAGAAGCACATTTGTCATTGTAAGGTAGTTTGTATGTTTAGGCCTCTGTTGTATGATAAATAAATATATAGGATTGGGTAAGTAAATTGGATGGTTTCAGATTCAACCATATATTGAACAGATCCGCTGAAATTAATGGGACTTAAAATGATGAGATCTCAGTAAGTGCATAAGATAAAGAATTCCCCTTCTGAGCTAACAACGTGAGATAAAAATATTAGGAGAGTTAAATAGTACTTGCACATTATGTTCCATTCGGGTATGACTGTTTCTAAATTGTTCATCCTCGGCACTATGAATTACCCAAGGCACTTCCAATTTTCAGAGTTCTGGCCTTCAAGGAACAGTGATTTTAAAGCAACTGGATTCCTTCCATTCTGACACATTACAAAGTGCAAAAAAAGAGGAAAGTATCGACAACGGGCACGAAATCCTTTGATTATGCCTAAAATACTCCCCCCCCCAAAACAAATCTGAACCCACTCCACCTCTGCCCACTTTGGTGACCTCACTGGGTTGTCAATTGTGGTCCATTAAAATGAAACTGCAGTCAAAGGCCACATGTGTGATAAATTTGAAAATTGCACCACCAGACAGATCTGGAGGGCATTAAGTTGCTGATGTTGTATCTACTGTATAACTGTTTCACTTTTTTTTTAGCTCTTGTTCTTTCTTTCCTTCTTTTCCAAATGGCATTTTCAGCTGAAAACGACCATTATTAAACTGTACAAGTGAACCTTGCAAAGTTTATTTTTCCACCATGTTCCTTGGGAGTTAAAACAAGCAGGGAGCAAACTAAGCTGAAAAGGCTACCAACTGCACTCATCTAAACTTAGGAGTCCACTCTGGAGGTTACTGGGAACACTTTCATTCCTATGAGGTTGAAGCCAGGTCAAGCTAATTTGAGCTATAAGCTAATTTATTGAAAAGTGCATACCTATTCGGACAAGGCTGCCACTGAATACCTATACGGGCAAGGCTGCCACTTTTATTTACTGCCGTAGAAAATTCCTTCCTTTGGATAGGCTGGTCAGAGCCATGTACTAAGAGTGTAAATTTTCAAGTGAATTCTGCGCATCTATCTTGGCAGACCTCAAAGTATCAGCCTCAGCTCATTGGAAGGCTACAGACTGGCCCAGGCTGGTTTTGCTATTATTATTCTCTAGGTTGCAAATGGCAAGACCAATTCTGCTTTAAGACTCAGGAGCCCCAGAAGAAAAAAAAACAGGAGTCATCTACAATATACAGTGTAATAATTGCAACAGCTCCTATGTAGGATAAGCAGACAGAAAACTGGCAGAACATGTCCATGAACACCAAGTAGCAGTCAAAAGTCATGATGAAAACTCTTTAATTTCACAACATATGGACAGACTTAACCATAGTTGCAATTGGGAAACTGTGATCATGGTAGACCAAACCAAGTCCCAAAACACTAGGGAATTTCTAGAAGCCTGGGACTCTGACAAATTAGCCATTAATAGAACACTGAGAAGGAAGGACTCACTGGAGAAGAGCCTAATGCTAGGAAAGATTGAGGGCAATAGAAGAAGGAGACGACAGAGAATGAGATGGCTGGATGGAATCACTGAAGCAGTAGGCATGAGCTTGAATGGACTCCAGAAGATGGTAGAGGACAGGAAGGCCTGGAGGAACGTTGTCCATGGAGTTGCGATGGATCAGACACAACTTCGCCACTAACAACAACAACAGACACATTGATGCAAACAATATTTATATATTATGCAAAAGAAACAATCAACCAGCCAAAAAGAGACAAACGACCAAAACACCTCCCCACCAGCAATCAGCACCCAGATGAGCATAGATTAACTCTAAGATTAACATCAAAGCAACGATCAAGTAAATAATACCCCAATCAAGGAATTGCCAAACAAGCCATCAGGAAACACTCCAACCCAAAACCATCAGAGGGTAAGCCTCTAGAACAGAAGTCCCCAAACACTGGGTTGCAGCCCACTACCAGGCGGTGGCCTATTCACAACTGGGCTGCACAAGTGGTGGGCCTGTATGCACAACCATGCACACATAGCTCAATTTTTGCAAGGCGGCATGCGTGCAGTTCAACTTGCGCAAGTCAAGCTGCTTGTACATGTGCGCTGGCCTACTGCTTGTGCAAGTTGAGCTGTGCTGCATGCCGGCCCACCGCTCACGTAGCCCGGTTCCCATCAGCTGCCAAGCTGCAAAGGTTGGGGACCACTGTACTAGAATGTAAACTGAGAACAAACCCCACTCCTTATTAGCACTGATAATGTTGCCTACTTTGGGTAATAAAAACAACCAAGCTCAGGGAGCACCAAGGACTCCTCATTTCAACCCTGAGCTACAAATATTCTCCTTTATTGATCCTGAAATCACAATACAAGGTCAGCTCTTTCATATCTGCATGGAGTATCACAATACAGGTCAAGATGGTACATTATAGTTTTTATCGTTTGGCATGCCCACCCTTCCCCTGGTAGGTGCCACGCTGAGCCAATCTAAACTGTTCTTCACATACGTAGAAAATTAACTTTAAAAACCCTAATGAATTCAATTAAACTGCATATTGCTTGCCCGAATTTTAGGTTTAAAGTACTGAGGCCTCTCTTATAACAAAGTCAGATTCCTACTTGAATGGATAGGATGAGATAATGATTGTCAGGCTTCTCCCAAACAATACAAGCAGTGGTGGGATTCAAATATGTGAAAACTGGTTCTCTGTGTGGATGCCACTTCCGGAAGTCTGTTCTGGGCCTGGTCAACAAAAAAATAGCGACCGGTTCTGCTGAACTGGTGTGAACTGATTGAATCCCACCACTGAATACAAGTATTAGAAACCTCCCAGATGTTGCATCAAGGACATATTAATTGACAAGTTATATTTGTTGCAAGAACTAAAAAATCCATTTAAACATCTATAAAATATTAAGTCATGTATGTATTTGTATGTGTTTAATAGTTACATATTATACTTATGCAATGCACGCCATATTTATAGTAGAAGCAGGATTCACTTTTCATATCTCTTCTCTTCCTGGGAAGTGTAATAATAATAATAATAATAATAATAATAATAATAATAATAATAGTCCCCCAGT